AGTTACTCTAGTGGGTTTGGTTATAGTGTTGGGGGTAAGTAGTGTGACGTAGCCTGATTATGGTGCTTCTATTGGGGGAGTGTAGTGTGACGTAGCCTGATTCTGGTGCTTCTATTGGGGGTGAGTAGTGTGACGTAGCCTGACTCTGGTGCTTCTATTGGGGGAGTGTAGTGTGACGTAGCCTGATTCTGGTGCTTCTATTGGGGGTGAGTAGTGTGACGTAGCCTGATTCTGGTGCTTCTATTGGGGGTGAGTAGTGTGACGTAGCCTGATTCTGGTGCTTTCTATTGGGGGAGTGTAGTGTGACGTAGCCTGACTCTGGTGCTTCTATTGGGGGAGTGTAGTGTGACGTAGCCTGACTCTGGTGCTTCTATTGGGGGAGTGTAGTGTGACGTAGCCTGACTCTGGTGCTTCTATTGGGGGTGTGTAGTGTGACGTAGCCTGACTCTGGTGCTTTTCTTTGTACCCTCAGAGGACTAGACAACATCCAGACGTCCCGTAGACACTCGGTTCTCCTCAAGTTGTTTAACCTGAAAGAGATGATTAACTGCCTCGAGGATCTTATCAACTACTTCGCTTACCCTTCTGACGACTTAGGTGAGTATACGGACGTGTGAGACGACCTGAGTGAGTATTAGTCTACGTACATAATGGTTGTTGAGCACATTTTATGAAGCTTAGAGGAAACCCCGTACACAAGGGGTTAATGGTTGTGTTCGGTAAATCAAAACTGTAAATAAAATTATGTTGTATAATATTCCTGTAAGACAAATAGGCTGGCTAGGTGAACATATATTAGCGAGTTGTTATTGTCAGTTTTACTTTCTGTGATATTTTGCTTGATAACAGTAAATGGAAATGATAAATTAAACTGATTTCTTGCCCGAGTTTGTTGTTAAGGTTTGGGTAAATACTGTGGTGTGCTGCTGCCTTATCGTGAAGTATTTGTCTCTCAGAACACAACGAGCGACAGGTGTCACTACGTGCCTTGAGGAACCGCCAAGACCTGTTCCAAGAGGAAGGTATCCTCAACCTGATTCTGGACGCTATTGACAAGATCACCCTCATCACCCAGCAAGGTTACCTGGTGGCTCTCGCGGGGGAAGAGGCTGGCCAGGACTGGGATATCATTTCAGGTGTGTTTGACAAATACAGATGTAAGGTGTTGCAGAATACAGGTGTAAGGAGTTGCAGAATACAGGTGTAAGGTGTTGCAGAGTACATGTGTAAGGTGTTACAGAGTACAGGTGTAAGGTGTTGCAGAGTACAGGTGTAAGATGTTGCAGAGTACAGGTGTAAGGTGTTGCAGAGTACAGGTGTAAGGTGTTGCAGAGTACATGTGTAAGGTGTTGCAGAGTACAGGTGTAAGGTGTTGCAGAGTACAGGTGTAAGGTGTTGCAGAGTACATGTGTAAGGTGTTGCAGAGTACAGGTGTAAGGTGTTGCAGAATACACGTGTAAGGTGTTGCAGAGTACAGGTGTAAGGTGTTGCAGAGAACATGTGTAAGGTGTTGCAGAGTACAGCAGTAAGGTGGTACAGGTGTATGGTGTTGCAGAGTACAGCAGTAAGGTGGTACAGGTGTAAGGTGTTGCAGAGTACAGGTGTAAGGTGTAGGTGTGTGTTGCAGGCTACCTCTACCAGCTGCTGGCGGCCGTCATCAAGGGGAACCACACCAACTGCTCCCAGTTCGCCAACAGTCACCGTCTCAACTGGCTCTTCTCCCGCCTGGGGTCTGCTGGTGAAGGCACTGGCATGCTCGACGTACTCCACTGTGTCCTCATGGACTCTCCAGAGGCCCTCAACGTTATGAAGGTGAGGCCTTATCCGGGAGAGAGAGAGAGAGAGAGAGAGAGAGAGCGAGAGAGAGATAGAGAGATAGAGAGGAGTTCACTAATTCACTTCTCTTGTAAGCACTTAGTAAAGATTAGCATGTGGCCTCGATTTCACGATTAGCTGAGTGTCTCTTGACCTCGTTTCTATGCATGCAGCCGCTCCAGTCACTAGAGATTAAAACAGGAAATTCCTCTCAGAAGTTAGCAGTCATAATTAGCTTTTGGTCAGAACTCCAAGACTCACCAAGTTTTCCTGGTTTGCTTTGAATGAAAAAAGAATATCAAGGAGCTGGAAATAGTAATACCTGCTACAAGTCACATAGTTCTAACAAAATGATATTATAAAAGAGATAAACCGCGGCCCTCAAAGAATTAAACTACCGTCCTCATAAAAATAAACCATCATCCTTTAAGGCTTAAATTATCATTTGTCAAAACATTAGATCAACATCCTCAAAGGGATAAGCTTCATTCTGAAAGATTTAAGCCATCATCCTGAAAGATTTGAAAAATGTTCCTGAAAGAATTAAACTACCATTCTCCAAAAGTTAAACCATCATCCTGAAAAGATTTAAACCATCAACCTGAAAGATTTAAACCATCATCCTCAAAGGTTTCGTGTTGAGTGGATCTAACGTGTTGGTTTCGGCCTACAGGAGGAACACATCAAGGTCATCATCGCTCTGCTGGAGAAGTACGGGCGTGACCCTAAGGTGCTGGATGTGTTGTGTTCCTTGTGTGTGGGTAACGGCACCGCTGTCCGCTCCTCTCAGAACAACATCTGTGATTACCTCCTGCCTGGCCGCAACCTTCTCCTCCAGACCCAGCTAGTGGACCATGTCTCCAGGTTAGTTGTGTCTCCTTATCGTTACATCTCCATATGATGATATAAAAAATAAGTAAGTACTAAATAATTTTCCTGTTTCCCTTCATACCCTTCTCTTATCACTCACACTCTCTTGCTAAGCCTCCTCCGGTAATTGTTGACAGCGCGCGACCCAACATCTTCGTGGGATTCGTGGAAGGCTCAGCCATTTACCAAAAGTGGTATTTTGAAGTGACGCTGGACCACATCGAGCAGACGTCACACCTTCCCCCCCATCTACGACTGGGTTGGGCCAATACCAAGGGCTACGTCAGCTACCCTGGCGGCGGCGAGAAGTGGGGTGGCAATGGTGTTGGTGATGACCTCTACTCCTTCGGCTTTGACGGTTCTTTCCTGTGGACGGGCGGTCGATACACCCTCGCCAACCCCATTGTGAGTACCTCTGCCTCCTCACTACCAGTATTCAAATGACCCACGAATATCCCTGATATTCGTGATATACGTATGCTGCTGGCCACTGAATCTGCCTCACCTGTTGGCTCTTCTCTTATAGGACTCTCTGCCGCTCATCAAGAAGGGTGACGTGATCGGCTGTGCCCTCGACCTGACTGTGCCCATCATCACCTTCTATGTGAATGGCCGTCAGGTGAACGGCGCTTTCACGGGCTTCAACCTGGACGGCATGTTCTTCCCTGTGGTATCGGCCTCTGCCAAGCTCAGGTAAATCACAGTAGTTTATCTTATAATCATTTAAGCCAGTGTTAGAAATGCACCACAAACGGTGCCACTAAACTAGATTCATTTTGTCCTGAAGCTGACGAAGGAAATGCAAGCTAACCTTATAAAACTAGTGAAGTACTGTATCTTTCTCTGTCAAATTTCATTAGTACTCCGGACTAACAAATCTGTGGCAAAGGAACGTCTCGGTAACTTAATTTGACAGTGACGTGTTCTGACCCTCCTTCATCATTTATTTAAGAAAGACAGATTTTTTCCTGTGAGGGAGTAGTGTGTAAATAGTAGTGTGAGTTAGGGTTAGAGTCAGAAAAAACAGCCGAAGCTGACTTTACTGTGTGTTGCAGCGCGAGGTTCCTGCTAGGTGGTGAACACGGCAGACTTAAGTACCCGCCCCCTGAGGCCCATTCATCTGTGTCCGAGTGTCTCCTGCCCTTCCAAGTGAGTTATCCCTATACACACACACACACACACACAAAATATAGCTCATTAATACTGCATTATATTACGTATAAGATATTGAATATATAACTGTCTCCTGGATATACCTGACAAGCTATAAGGCTTTGTGCTTATACGTCTCCTGGGTATACTTAATCAACAAATCTCTGGGTACGTAATTATGTCTCCTAGATATAATACCTGACCATGTTGTTCCTCCTCCCGCAGACGCTGACGATCGATCCGTGCTTCTACTTTGGTGACCAACACAAGGGCACGCTAGCCGGCCCTCTCTTGATCCAAGACGACCTCGTGTTTGTGCCCAAACCCGTCGACACTTCTGCCGTCAGTAGCTGCTCTCTCTTGTTATTGTTGTTGCTCTTTGGTGGGGAGGGAGAGAGGGAGGGAGGAAAGGAGAGTGGGAGGGAGGGAGAGTAGGAGAGAGGGAGAATGGGAGGGAGAGGGGGGAAATGAGAGTGGGATGTAGGGAGGGAGGGGGCGTGGGAGGGAGGGAATTGGAGAGAGGGAGAGTGGGAAGGAGGAAGACAGAGTTGGAGGGAGGGGGATGAAGAGTGGGAAGGAAGGAGGGGGGATGGAGAGCAGGAGGGAGGGAGGTAGAGAGAGTAGGAGGGGGAGGGAGAGTAGGAGTGAGAGTGGGAAAGAGAGTGGAAGAGGGAGAATGCAATGAAGGGAATTTGATGGTATGAGGGGGGGGGAGAGATTTTCTATATTATTATTATTATTATTATTATTATTATTATTATTATTATTATTATTATTATTATTATTATTATTATTATTATTATTATTATTATTATTATTATTATTAACGTTGGCGCCACAGATCCAGCTGGCGGCGTACATCGAGCAGGTGCGAGACAAGTTGGCTGAGAACATACACGAGATGTGGGCCATGAACAAGATCGAGCAGGGGTGGACCTACAGCGAGCGACGAGACGACCTGCGCCTCCACCACCCCTGCCTCACCTCCTTCGAGAAGCTCCCACCCAGCGAAAAGCGATACGACGCCACCCTCGCCCTCCAGACCCTCAAGTATGTTCTCCTTGCACTAGGATCTTTAAGTCCTGCTCGAGATCCCTGAATTAGAAATCCTCGAGGAATGCATAAAATCATACAGTGCACACACACACACACACACTTGACAGGACCAATGCCCAAAAGACAGACTTCTATATGAAGACATAAACAAGTGTTAATCCCGACTGGACGATGAAGTCCTCCGCCTCAGGTAAACAACATCTAGCCAGGTCGGCGGGTGAGAGAACCTACCGCACATTCCTCCTCTCTCAACACGGGCGAGGACACTGATCATCGAACACTTGTACTCAGACCAGGTGTCAGGATAAAACTCTTTCACTCGGGCATTTATTCTGTTTCTGAAGTCTTTCATAACTTCAGAAAGAGAGCAATTTGGTGTAACAGTAGATCTATATGGCCTTAATGTATTCTGAGTAACTGACCGTGGAAGTCTTATCTGGTAACTTGTTCCACTTTGTCACCACTGGGGGGGCTAGTAGTTTACCTATTATTTATTTTTTTAATATTGAGAGAAAGATTACTGGAGCAACTATTACAGTATTTCACATATGTCTAGGTCACCTCCACATCCTCAACACCACCAGTAGGTGGCTCTTGAGTTATATCATCCATTCTCAGTAATTTCCCTCAAGGATGTCAGAACCCAGAAGTTGGATTATTAATAAGTCGTCCTCCAGTAAGTGAGACTTTAATATGTGTCACTTCATTTACCTCCACTGATGGTCCCGGGCTTGAAGTTACTGGGGCTGTTCATTTTGTTTACAGTAACTATCTTAAGTTCTTTATTAATTAGAAGATTCTATGCATCATTAAGGTTGAAGAAACATATATCATAATGTTATTTGATTATCCTTTCAAAATGGAGGCCGCGTTTAGAAGTGTTATTATGGTGTGCACAAATAACAGTAATGTAGTGAAGTTAAGGTGTGTTTGTGTGGTGATGCAGGACCGTGTTGTCTCTGGGGTACCACATCACCATGGACAAACCTCCCAGCCGCATCCGCTCCGTCAGGCTGCCCAACGACCCCTTCCTGCAGTCCAACGGCTACAAGCCCCAGCCCCTCGACCTGTCCCAGGTGTGTCCTCTGCCACCTGCCTGACTCTTGGTTTACTGTCAGCTGCCCGGATGGTGTTATAACACTTTCTTTGTTATGACTTAATATGTTTCATTACTACCAGGTGTACAGTATTATGTTGTTATTCAACAGTGAAACAGTGACACTAATCATTTCACTACGTGTCAATGGAAGTGTTTACATACTACTTGTCATTAATATGGGAAAATAGTGGCTAACTTAACGTCTTGTTTACAGATAAGCCTCACGTCCAAGCTGGAGGAGTTGGTGGACCAATTAGCAGAGAACACCCACAACATCTGGGCACGCGAGCGTATCATGCAGGGGTGGACATACGGTCTTAATGAGGACCCTGACATGCGCCGCTCACCTCACCTCGTCAGCTACGGCAACGTTGACGAAGCCATCAAGAAGGCTAACCGAGACACCGCCTCCGAGACCATCAGAACACTGCTCGTGTACGGGTACATCCTCGAGGCTCCCACCGGCGACCAAGCTGACGGTGAGACCCTGTGTGTTAGTGTGAGGGTGAGGGGAGTGGCGCCTCAACCCTGGTGACAAGGGTGCTGCAATTATGGGTCATGGGGACACAGGTGCTGCAATCATGGGTCATGGGGGCACAGGTGCTGCAAACATGGATCACAGAGACACAGGCGCTGGAAACATGGGCTTTGGGGATACAGGTGTTGGAAAAATGGGTAATGGGGGCACAGGTGCTGGAAAAATGGGTCATGGGGATACAGGCGCTGGTAACATGGGTCATGGGGGCACAGGTGCTGGAAACATGGGTCATAGAGACACAGGTGCTGGAAGCATGGGTCATGGAGACAGATGTTGGAAATATGGGTCATGGGGGCACGGGTGCTGGAAACATGGTTCATGGGGAGACAGGTGGTGGGGTACTATTGGTCACAACCCTGTTTGGTCAGAGACAATAAAGTGTTGGGGAGTGGCGGGTGGTACAAGGATCAACTGTCTAACAGAGATGTAATAAAGGGACATTAAGTTATGAGCGTTAGTTAATTGTAGGTTAACTTGGCTCTTGATTTTTCTTGAATCAAATTGTCTTACAATATGTGTGTGTGAGTGTGCATATATATATATATATATATATATATATATATATATATATATATATATATATATATATATATATATATATATTATCTTGATATTGTGTCAAGCTTGTCACTATTAACTGATGACGAGTGTGGCATCTTTATACAGCCGCGGCAGCAGCACAAGTGAGCCACAAGAGAGGCACTCCTCACCGCACCTACCGCCTGGAGAAGACCAACGCCGTCACCTCGGGCAAGTGGTACTTCGAGATGGAGGTTCTCACCTCCGGTCCCATGCGTGTGGGGTGGATAGAGACCGGCAGCCCACCCGGAACAGAATTGGGCTGCGACGACAAATCTTGGGCTTTCGACGGATTCCGTGTAAGTAGAGGCTGGTGAACCTACAGTGCTTACACGCTCACGGGTGCCACTGAGAGGTGATACCTGAGAGTTGTCCAGCAGTTACCCGTTACTGTGTGTTGAAGGGTCGGGTAGTGTCTTCCCTCTTAAACCACTGTTATAATGAATCACAGAAAGTATACGAACTGTGAATGATGTCGTTATAAACAATATGTTACTTATCTTTTAAGATTATTTTCAGATACTTCGTTGACACGTAAGGAAATTCAGTGAGATTTTGTCATGATAAAGAAAAAGTAATCACAAAAAACTTATATAGCATTTAGAAAAACGGGATGTTGTGGACGTATTACTTAAGTAAACTTAAGGTGTGTGTGACGTCATTCATGCTACACGATGCCGCACGATAGCAGATGGTGAAGGATAACAACCAACACTTAAACACAACATTTCTCACAATTGACTTAATTAAACTAACATATAACAGCACTAATACAAAACACCAATAGATAATTTTGAAAGATAATACTCAGGATTAACTTGATCATTTGAAAACATTACCATATATAAGAACACTGAAAGATAACATTATTGATGGCTTACAAATGTGTTAATTAATATATAAACTAGGTGGTATAATAATAAAACTGTAATTTAAGGTTTTTCCCTGAAGATTTTTGAAGATGTGTCGAATATTTTTCAAAATATCTGGAGAGATTTAGAAAGTTTTGTTCATTAAGAAAACTTTTTACTTTCACTTCTTTGTTATCAAGAGGAGTGTTATAGTGGTAAATATTGTATTAATATTACAACAAATATCTTAGTGCCAACACACTACAGTATAACACATTAGGGAAGTCCTTCACATGTCAGTGTAGTCATAACCACGCTATTAACCATTAAGTGTCTCTCTTAATGTTATAATCGAGTCTTGAGTGATGTTAAGCGTGTCACTGTGACCCTCTTGTCCTCAGGGGGCAGTAAGGTCAGATGCAGCCCTATTAAACCTTTACTGTTAGGAATTAAGGTGTTAATCATCAGGCACATTTTATATAGAAACATGAAACGGAGTTCTGTTGTTTAGAGTAATGAAAGTAATCAACCACAGAAGTAAAGGTCGACTTACTCCCGCTAAGCCTGGGAGTTGACAAGTGACATGCTCTTGGGGACCAGTGAGCATGGCACATCACATCACATTACAGACAAGGGAAGCGTTATTGTACATTCTGATTGTTATTTATTAATTTAGGCTTAAAATATCTAAGTGTTCAAAGATTATTGCCTGTAATGGACTATCAGGGGTTCGGCCAGGAAACAGGGTGCAGCTGCGTCAGTGTCTGGTCACAGGTAATACTGTATAAGCACAGGAGCGCTCTTGTGCGACTCTCGGACGTAAGTCATTGTTGGTGAAGATGAGAGAAGGAGGTTTAGTAGAGTGCAAGTTGTGGTGTGTGGCAGTAACTCCCCCCCCCGTATTTTTAAAGCACATGAAGCATCACATGGGCACGACGGAGCCTTATGGACGACTCGCCCAGCCGGGCGACGTTGTGGGGGTAATGCTGGACCAACATGACAAGACCATCAGTAAGTTGGTTCTTGTGTCTCTCCTCCTCTGTCTCTCCCCACCACCATCACCACCACCACACGGGCGCTCACAGAACATGTCTCCTCTGACATATCACACCGACTCACACACCTATATCTTTATATCTACAGAGCCATAAAATAATAAACGATAAATGTACTTCTACATCTGTGCCTGCAGGAACGGTTTAGGAGCCCTCTGTGTGCCAACCTTGTGGAGTCCTCCACTAACAGCTAAAGTCTCTATGTTCTTCACAGCTCTGCAACAGACGTGCATCAGCCGCTATGGAGCTACATAAGTTCCTACTTCGCTAACCCAGCGTTGTGTTTCAGACCCGTGTAATTAGCTCATGATAAATTGCAGCACACAACTCCAAACATTAAATTGAATTAACGAGTAAAATTTTCACTGTTTACGCACCTTTAACTGGCTAGTGTTTACGAATTGACTGCTGCAGTTTATAGAATGTCACGTTGCAGATGTGTGTCCGTGTTGAGTTGTTGCTAATAGTTTGTATGTGACACAGGAAGAAAAGTGTTTTGCGGGCGTGTTGGACAGCTACGGCCACAAGTGGCTGGTTGGAGACGTGGTTGGCGTGTGCCTTGATCTTGTCGACAGAACCATTAGTGAGTGATTGATACAAAATCCTCGATGGCTGTCGTAGACGTTGAGGTAGCGAGTTTGATCACTAGCTTCATTTAGCTGTAGCCGTAGGCGGGTAGCCAGAATTCTGGGCAAGAAAAGAGCATCAAGTGGTTACCATGACCATTTGGTGGTGCTTGCCCAGGACAGTAAACACCTTAATGTTCTCCTACTCTGTTTCTTCCTGGCCCACACACACGATCACCAGAAGGCTACTGACGTGGCAGCCCTTAATCGCATAATAATTATTTCACTTTAATATTCTGTTACTGGAACCGAGTCAACACAGTGGTGTCACGAGGGAGTCAGTCCCCAGCTGTGGGCTACAGGAAGAAGCAGGTATGGAGGTGCCGGCTCCCATTCCTGGTTTTATACCTTCGTTTTATTACTGCTTGCCGTTCACTCCCACGCCACAAACTGGTCAGCTAGGCTTCATAGTTTTCCCAAATAGTGAAAACAAGACCTTATCGCTTCGCATGTTCATTTATTGAGCAAGTTTGCTCCAGTAGGCCACAACAACCGGATGACATGAACAAATTTTCAGCCCAAAATATTTACAGTACCAACACCCCGGATAAAGAATGACCCCAGCGACCCTTCCCAGCACCTGTCTGCTGTTGATAATATCATGATCCCTTACTCGAAGACTGAATGAGCTAAGGCGTTACTATATAACTCCTGCATGTGTGTTTTGTTGTTGCTCGGTTGCATTAGCAGCGTTTGTGTTTCTTTGTTGTTTTCGTTATTCTTGAGAGCACCATTTTTATTCTGTGCATGTGTGTTTCGCAGTCTCTCTCCCACCCAGAGTCGGAGTAGGTTGACCCTTATCATGAGTCTCCAGTCCAAGCTCCATGAGACTCCGCTGTCTTCTGTATTAGTTTTCCCTCCCTGACTTTCTTTCCTTCTTGTGTACAGATTTATACATGGCCACAGTGGACACCATATGAAGAGACTCAATGTATATTCATAGAATCCTGAGATTTTCAGTAAAGAATATGAAGCACATGACAGAAATTAACGCAGGTGAAGGTTGAGAAGTGAAATTACGCAGAATCTTGGAAGTCATAACTGTACGTGACGGCGGGAAGAACGCTGTCAGTGTTTCTTTCAGACTCATGAAAGTTAAGAAATTGATACGTGTAAATGACTCCTCGAGAGAGTTTCAGTATTTCTGATGAATATGAAAACTTTAATTTTCTAAATGAAGAAGTTTAAATTAGTGGACGTCTGGCCAGGTTACAGAAGGTCAGAATTAATGTCATCTTCCAAGCTTCTCAAGATTTTGTGGATAATTTTACTCGGCAAACATTTAGTAAAATAAATATTGTATAAAAAATTAATCTCGTGATAGAAGAGATTAAATGTTTCAATAAATGGTGAAGTAGTGAAGGCTGTATTGAAATTTTTTTAATCATTAGTTTGTAGAGCTTGACTAAGGTGCTTAAAGTATTTATTTACTCCAAGTTCAGTAAATGTAGATTCGAATTTGCCCTATACCTATATATATATTACATATATATATATATATATATATATATATATATATATATATATATATATATATATATATATATATATATATATATATATATATGCAAGTAAATCAATGTAGGTGCGCGTGATCTAGGTATATGCTGATAACCACTTCGTGTTTTATTTTTTCCTTGTGGTTATCAGCATATATATATATATTATATATATATATATATATATATATATATATATATATATATATATATATATATATATATATATATATATATATATATATATACTACATTGTACCTTATGACACTCGTATAGGCGTGCCAGTAGTTCATTTGGTAGTAAGAATAACAGTAAATAAGATCATGGCCATAATGTGTTGTTTGTATCACTATTGAACACAGTTTCTGATCACTGCAGTTTTATGGACAGGATGATCCTGTGTCTTATGAGAAAACAATAACTAATACACCCTCCCCCCCTCCTCCTTCCATCCCTCCTCTCAGGCTTTTCACTCAACGGAGAGTTGATGATGGACGCCAGTGGCTCTGAGACAGCCTTCAGTGACGTGCATGGCGAGGCCTTCGTCCCCGCCTGCACCCTCGGCGTAGGACAGAAGGCTCACCTTGTCTTCGGCCAAGACATCAACCAGCTTAAATTTTTCACCACCTACGGTCTTCAGGAGGGTTATGAGCCATTCTGCGTGTGAGTATTGTTGTAAGTTATTTGTCCATGATGTAACAAACTGCGTATAATATTAATTTTCTCAGATATATTAAGAAACTCGCTACCCTTTAATACTTAGTCTTCACTGTGTCGTCTGTATATGACCTTAATTCCATTTTTGTCTGTTAACGTGTTTGTATATTATGGTTCATACGGTGCAGTACATACCTAACGCATCCTGATCCCGAAAGTTAGAACCCTAGGTTTTGTGGGCGGGTAATGAGTGTTGGTGGTTTTGTGGGCGGGTAATGAGTGTTGGTGGTTTTGTGGGCGGGTAATGAGTGTTGGTGGTTTTGTGGGCGGGTAGTGAGTGTTGGTGGTTTTGCAGGAACATGGAAAGGCCGGTGACCTATTGGTACACCAAGGACCAGCCCATCTTCGAGAACAACGAAGAGCTGCAGGAGTCCACCATCGACGTGACGCGTATCCCGGCCGGTTCCGAGACGCCGCCGTGCCTCAAGATCGCCTCCAAGATGTTCGAGCAATGTGAGAAAGCCAACTGGGAGTTCCTGAGGGTGTCGCTGCCGGTGGTGTGTGACCAGGTCTTTATAGAGTAAGTAACTGAGTGACCGGATATTTAGAGAGTGAGTAACTGAGTGTATGTGTGTGTGTGTGTGTGTGTGTGTGTGTGTGTGTGTGTGTGTGTGTGTATGTATGTGATAATAATAATAATAATAATAATAATAAACAGTTTATTGAAAAAGTTCTGCAGCCCGAAGGTTAAAAATATACATTGGACATAAATGACTTATTACATACATTGGTGGTTTAACAAAAGCCTTCATTAGAGAAAGGTAAAGGAACATACAGTGAAAAGACAGATTAATATTTACAGTGGAGGTCACGTAAATCTTGTGCGCTGAGGTGTTGAACAGTAGGTAGTAGGTAATAGGCAGCTACCAAACAGGGAGGTACTACCATCTGGGATGATATTGGAAGCATAATGTGTTGTCTAAAGGTAGACCCTGCTGCCATATGGCATCACGAAAATTGTGACCAAGTCCCAGGTTGCTCATCTGACTATCTGCCCCATTTACACACAATTGCAGGGTCTCAATTGTTTCTCTTACTTTGACAACACAACATACATATATTGTTTCTCACTTTTCATCTTTTTTTTCTTAATTTTTTGTATTTCTTTATTATTATTTTTATTATTATTATTATTATTATTATTATTATTATTATTATTATTATTATTATTATTATTATTATTATTATTATTATTATTATTATTATTATTATTATTATATTTTCGCCCCCCAGGCCCCGATGTGGGTCAGTGACCTGTCCCCGGGTGGGCTAATCACCGTAAAAAAAAAAGAACAGCAGACACGCTGTGTAGTAACTCCTTCACAGATGAGGGAGGTTATGAGGGGCATCACGTGGTGTAGTAGTTCCCTCACAGGTGGTGTTATGAGGGCCTGATGTGGTATAGTAATTCCCTCACAGATGGTGTTATAAGGGGCCTGATGTGTGTGTGTGTGTGTGTGTCCAGGTCTTTGAGTAACCGAGTGTCAGGCCTTTTTAGAGTTAGTTTGTAAAATGAGTAACTAAGCGAGTACTTAACCTCTCACCTCCGGCAGTGAGGAGGAGAAGGCTGTTCGCTGGCAGGAGGTCAGGAACCGACAACACAGACTTCAACATGGTGATGTTCAGCCCTCCATAGCCTTCCAGAGCTCTCTCGTCGACACCGGCTTCTCCCTCTCTGACATCAAAGGTATGTTATTCTCTCTCTCTTTCTCTCTCTCTCTCTGGACCAAAAAGTTACATACCTTTCCCTTCTTCGACATCAAGGGTAAGGTCCACTCTTCTCTCCTCGACATCAAAGTTATGTTCCTTGTTTTCCGACAATATCAAAGGCTCGTTCTTCTTCTCTCCCTGACATCAAATTTACATTTTCCTGCCGTTCCTCTGTCCCTCTGCTAACAACAGCGGCTCCTTAACTTGTCACGGTCATGCAGTGTGTCTTTATGTCTGTCTGTGCCTTCAAAGACAATTTATATACTGTATTGCTCCACACGAGTTACTTCCCCAGTGATAAAGGTAGTTTCCGCCATCATTATTTGACATCTAGGGGGAGTCTCTCTACAGTTATCCTCTCTCTACCTTACTCAGAAATACTATGAGATTGTTTAAATATTCACTGGCAACGATAAACAAAGTATATTAAGGAAAAGGAATACAATGACAGCTCAAATTACAAGTAGAAAACTTAGCCATAGCCACTCAGCACAACACAGCACAACTCGACTCTAATTTCTCCCAAATATCTATCCTCCCAATTGTTGTAAGGCTCTCTCTCTTACAAAATTATAAATCCCACACACAACTCCACCATTTTCAGAATTTGTCCCGAAATGTCCCGCTTCATTAATGAAAATATTAAATTTTGACACAAGAAATTCGAAAAGTTTTTGAGAGAAACAGAGAGAGAGAGAGGTTGGCAGTGGCACAAAAAGTAATGTTTGGCAACTTAGCCCTCCATATTCATATAATTCCTGTCCTGTTCCGTCCGCACTCTCTAACCCTCTCTCACCATGAACGCGAGTTTGATAACGTGGCGCGGATACGTCCGGGTACGCCGACCTGCCCCAAGAAATTAAACCACCTAGTTCTCAAGAAGCTCTTTGAAACTAATGAGATCGTGGGGGTCACCAAGGTGGAACGACTGAAGCTCCATGGTGACATCAAGATCACCTTCGCCGAGAACGGTATGCCCGTACAGCTCGCGGAGATCCCAGACATCAACGGCATTCCATTTAAAATGATTGCCTACAAGTGGGACAACCTGAAGCTGGGAGTAATCTCCCACGCCGAAATTGCCCACGTGGACCAAGCAGAGCTGAGTGAGCTCCTCAAGGGGCAACTCCAAGTTGTGAAGAAGCTGTCCGACACCACTGCCCTCATCGGACACCATACAACCTTACCCAAGGAGGCTCAACTGGCGTGGGTAACTGTGCCAGTCAAGCCCTACTGCAGACCGAAACGCTGTTACAAATGCCAGCACTACGGACACACTGTCAACAAGTGTGAGGCGCAGGAGGACACCTGCTCCCTGTGCGGCAGCCCCGGACACCGCTACACGGTCTGCCCCAACACAGTAAAAAAATGCGCTGCCTGTGGCGGCCCACACTCCGCCGATCGGACCTGCCCGAAATGGAAGGAGGAATGCAGGATAGCCAAGGCTCGACTCGACAAGAAACTGAGCTACAAAGAGGCCCTCCTTGCTGTACGCTCCCAAGACAAGAAAAACCAGCAGAAAAGAAAAACCAAGTAAAGAAAACCCAAGAAAAGAAAACTCAAGAAAAGACACCCGCCACACAGAACCAAGAACACCACGAGGCCCGTGGAGCTGAAGCCCACGTGGTCAACCTCACCGTCTCCGACTTCTTCCACACCTATGAGGACTTAAGACATGAGGAAGACGAACAACAAGACCCAAACACGAATGAATGGACACTTCAAGAGAGCAAGAAGAGGAGGAGAGTTAGAAGAAAATCTACAACAAGCTAAGAAGAATACCAAGACATTTCCTCCACACAAGGCCCAACCCAACACGCACCTGACGCTTGACCTGACGCTAGCCTGACTCTGTCCTGTCGCCTCCTGGCCGCGTCCGGGCGAGTTGCTGCTGCCTCCAACTTAATACTCCCTCACGCAAGCGGTGTTTAACCACTGCACCTATTCTCTCCTCCTAAAATTCACTCCAATCCTCCCTTTATTCTTCCCCTGAACCTCCTTCCTCCCTGTCACTAGCATTCTTCGATTCGATTCGGCCGCATGTATAGATGCCATAATTTGCCATATGTTACGTAATACATTTAATAGTTTTCATTCACATGAGTGTAAACTTCTGTTTGTGGCCGTTTATAAAGGCCTTTACCGATATAAAAAGTACATTGCAATGTCACAGTGGTTTCTGTACATCATATATTACGTTATAATTCTTGATATATAAAGTACAAACATTGAAAATGTTTACCAACAAGAGAAGAAAATTTACGAAAACAGGCGGAAAAATGCAACTGTAGGCTATGCTGCCCACTGAATCCTCAGTGGACAGTTTTTTCTTCATTTTGGTTGGGAAAATACCCAAGCGAAAGTGTACTTTTAATTCTTCCCTGCAGTCAAAAAACCTTTCTTTCAAATACGAAGACAGAAAGTGATGTATGGTGTATGAAATGTAACAGAGAGTTTAGCATTGCACATGGTGGAGATAATGATATTGCTAAGCATCTGATCTCACAGAAACAAAAAGCTGCTGATGTCAGTGCATCGTCTAGCAGTGAGGATCTGGAGGTGGTTGCTGTTGAGGGTTTGTGGGTCTACCATACAATCAAAGAGAATCAAAGCTTCCGATCTAATGACTGTGCATTAAATATCTTCCAGAAAGGCTTTGAGCCAAACTTTAGATGTGTCAGAACGAAATGCGATACAAGTGTTACAATTGTATTTGCACAATTTGCCTTATCAGAACTGGATAAACAGTTGAAGGATGCTCATTGTGTAGCAATATTAACTGATACAAGCAACCATGGGAGCACCAAAATCTTCCCTATGAAGGTGTTCAAGTAAAACTCATTGACTTTCAGTCTCAGGCTGGAGAATCTTCGGATATTGTGGTGAACTATTTAACATACAGTATTATCAAAGAACATGATCTTCCCAAGAAACTAGTTGCTTTCTGCGGTGATAATACAAACTGTAATTTTGGTGAACCTCAAAGAAAAGGAGTTAATAACACTTTTAGGAAATTTAATTCCTACTTAGGTAGAGATTTGATTGGTATTGGTTGTTGTGCCCACATTTTACATGGTGGTGTGCAGACTGCCTGCGACTGTTTGCCAGTTGATGTGGAAACAGTTATTGTTAAGATATATTCATATTTCTACTTGTATGCAGTTAGAGAAGAAGACTTGAAGGATTTCTGCAATTTTGTGGAAATGAATATAAACAGCTGCTGGGGTACAGTAAAACAAGATGGTTAGCACTAATGCCTACAGGTGAGAGAATTGTTAGAATGTTTCCCGGTTTAAAATGTCCTGTTGTGCTAAAGATTTGTTTTGAGAAGCATTGTGCAGAAGTCTGGCTCGACTTTGTGCATAGTCAGTCAGCCACCTTCCATCAAGTCATCTCAAAGATTGAAGACGAAGATACAACAGCAGTAGAAGATATGATCGTAATCAATGGTTTGAAGCAAAATCTTCAATTCAAGAAAGACAAAGTATTTTTGCCGCATTTAGTGAGGGTTCTAGCAAACAAACTTGAAGAAGATGGATTAACTGACTCAACTGCATTGAAGAAAACAGTTACAGATTTGTATGACACATGTGTTCAGTATTGATGCCAGTGGGAAGCAGTGGGCCTCATTAAAGCAAATACCAAAATGGCAAGACGTTAAGAAATAATTGATGTTGCTGCAGAAAAGAAATTCTATGATTCAAAGTTTGATACCGAGATATTTGACGAGTTTTGCTATGTCACAATTTATATTTCTGAGGAAAAAGTGTCAGGGTGGAATGCAGCTAAGTTATTTACAGACCAGCGTTGGGTAGAAATGTTAACTCACTTTAAAGACAGAGATATTACTCACCACCACATGTTAAAATTGGTTCAGTTCATTCTCTGTCTTCCTGGAACAAATTCATCTACCGAATGTGTTTTCTCACAAATCAACAAACTGTGGACATTTGAAAATTCACAACTCAAAGCCCCATCCCTCAAAGCCTTACTAGTCACGAAAGTTAACTTCAAGCAAACCTGGCTGGAATCCTACAATATGCTAAGATCAACTCCGGAGATGTCAAAACAAATCTTATCCAGTGAAAAGTACGAGCATTAGAAGGTAAATAGGCAAATACCATTGTCATGTACAATGGACGAGTTGTCTGTCGGAATTTTTTCGTAAGATGGCAGGTCAGCGGGTAAAGAAAACGCTTAAACTCACTATGGTAATGATATTTTTTAATAAATTGGGCCAAAACATGTAAAACATAATGGTTAAAGTAGCTAAAAAGTCACGTGACTGCGAAAAGCTCTGTAATTGGTTGTGACGTCATAGGTTGGCTCGAGCCGCCGAGCAGGACCCTAGAGGTAGCCAGCTGTGGTGTATGTGTTGTTACCAGCAGGAATACAGGACTTTGGCCATATACAATGTTGATGTACACAGCCATACCTTATTTTTAGGTTTAAGTAGATTACTGCTCAAGTAGGTAGATAGGCAGCTACCAAACAGGGAGGTACTACCGCCTGGGAAGATATTGGAAGCATAATGTGTTGTCTAATGGTAGACCCTGCTGCCACATGGCATCACGAAAATTGTGACCAAGTCCCAGGTTACTGATCTAACTTTCTGCCTCATTTACGCACAATTGCAGGGTCTCAATTTTTTCTCTTACCTGGACAACACAACATATATAATGTATATAATTTCTCACTCTTGATTTATTTTTTTCGATTTTGTATTTATTTATGGTTATCATTTTGTTATTATTTTATTTTTATTGTTATTAATTTGCTATTAATTTGATTAATTGTTGTAATAATATTAATAGATATTATTATATATTATATTTTCGCCCCCCGGCCCTGATTTCTTTTTCTTTTTTTTATTGGGCATCCCCTACATCCTATGTAAGGTGAAGCGCAGAAGCATTTACAGCGCCCAACAGGGAAGCATGCTAAGTTCATGCTTGCCTTTATGGCTCATGAGTTAAGAGCGTAGAAGCCTGAAGGGTCAAGGGCGTAGAAGCCTGAAGAGTCAATATTTTTTTTGTCATCAAGTTATAGGAAGCTCCAACAACTTTACAACTTTCCCTGAATACGAATTCGCAACTTTCGATTTACAACAGGTACCTACTTACTGCTAGGTAAACAGGGACCAATTGGGGGTAGGAAGTATGTCCAAACAACTTTTCCACCGGCCCGGGAATCAAACCCGTGACATTTCGCTTGCAAGGCAAGAGCGGTACCGCTTCTACCACCAGCGCCCCCCAGACCCTGATGTGGGTCATTACCTGTGCCCGGGTGGGCTAATCCCCGTAAAAAAAAAAGTATCACCGTGTGTGTTTACTTGCTGGATGCCAAAATGATGCAAAAGACCGATAACTCCAACGTGGAAGTTTTCATCACTGTTCTCTATTTCATGTCTGGAAAATGTAAGTTTTCGTCACCGATGTCTATATTTAATGTTGTGGGAGGACTAGGGACGACCATGGCCAGGGGATGGGCTTGAGATGCTCAGATGACAGATGTAATTTAACGTGCTTCATAGCTGGATGGCCGAATTCTTGATAAGACTCTACAATCATAAAGACATCTACTTTTGGTAAATTTCTTTCCTCTGCCTTGATGAACCCTGGAAGTAGTTGTCCAACCATCTCGGCTGATCGGCTCTGTAAATAAATATTATTCGATAATTAATTGTGCTTTACTGTGCAACACAGTAAGGCTATATTGAATATATAAACATTACTAAGCACATTAACTAATTTAATGGATATTAGCTGCCCATACTACAAATTTCATAGTATAAACATTCCAAACAATATTGGTATTATTTTGGTTTTGGTCATCTGGGGAACCTTAAGATTCTAACTATGGGATTAAGTACTTTAAACAATAAGACACATTATCTCTACGGGGTTTCTGTCGCAAAACATTTTTCAGTGGCATAAGAAAATACAGGTCATATGTTAGGTTAGGTTAGGTTAGGTTAGGTTCGGTTCGGTATGATAAGTTATATTACAAGTTATAAGGCTTAACATACACCGGTAAGGGGGGGGTAGTAACTCAAAACTAGTGATTTCCGACATAAATAAAGCTCAAAATCGTTCAGAAAAAAAAACATAGTCTGCATGTCTAAGTACAGGGATGACCAAAACTTTATATTTACCCAATATAGCCTAACACGAATCAAAACATTCCAAATACTTATGGTAGTTAAAGTAAAATTTCACCCATTAATTAATATAAGTGATGATATAACCTAATGCATTCTCAAAACAAAGTCCAGACAGTGTCATTACTTTTAAATTGACTTGTATCTCCATCTAGTACTGATATACTCTGTAAATGCACTGAAAAAAAAAGTACTAGGAAGGAATACATGACAACTGAGCTGGTGTGAACATAGGAGTTTTTATGTCCATAATCTGCTCTTTGCGGCACATTTCTTCACTTATGAAATGTCCATGACGTAGACCATAAAAAACACCCGTAAAACTTACCTGAACGTGGCATTTGGGGTCTGAAGAGGCCATCCTTTGTACTACCTCCGACTGCAGCAGTGAGTTTGTTGGAGAACGTCGTCTGCGGGGAAACTGGTGACGTCATTGCAAATGGCGGCCCTGTTTCTAGAGAAATAAACTTATCTCGACTATTATAGCAGGACTTTAAACTTTTATTACACATTATTCATACCGTATCACTCTACGAACGTGGCAAAGTATATTTTTTGTGTTTACTCAGAACCGACAACTCGTCCATTGTTTTGGTTTTGGGTCAAGTATAACTATACAGTAATCGGTTTTGGTGTATGGATTGTTGGGTTTTTCTTTCATGATTTTTGGTATGTCCTGCTTTTAGCTCCAAGAAATATGGTCACTTTCAAACCAAAATTTCTCCAAGGACGCCATTTACAATATTTACAAAGCGACACCACGCGAGAGAGAGCACTCCATGAAGGACACTGCTGGTACCATCTTCCTTTTCTCTAATATTCTATTTTGTATAAATTTGTTAATGCTGTCGATTAAATTCATGAGCTGTACTTTACTAAAATGTTGAAAACATTAAAACAATATGAATAATCATCCTAACATACAGTATTATAAATGTAAACAAATAATTTATACAAAAGCATCTGTTGAACTAACAGAGTATGGTAGTATCATACGCCATAAGGAATAACTAATCAATTGTCTTGGAAGGCACAAACCATAACAGTGTTTACTCGTCTGTGTCCCTGACTGAGAGACGTTGCCTCCCTCAGGTCCTGTTCGTCACACAAGGCGTCATGTTTTATATCCTAATAAAAGTATCTATGAGTTATTTTATTTTTGTCAAATTGCTTTACTGATTACCGTTGTTTACCTGCATTGTCTAGGTACATAGGAACCTTACTGTATACTCTTACGGCCTACGTGCACCGGTTTTTTTTTTACGGGATTATCCCACCAGGGGGCGATAAAATATAATAATAATGACAATAATAATAATAATATTAATAATAAATAAATACAAAAACTAAACAAAAAATCACTAGTGAGAAACGATATATAGTAAGTATTGTTATGACCCTCCTTTCACCGCTTACCCAGCTTCCACCACTGGTTACCAACGGCCAGGGTCGTATGTACAGAAGCAGTAGATATCTCTTAAGTGTCATCGAATTACCACTGACTGTCCCGCCAGTAATTTCCCTACGATTGGTATCAGTGTACAGACAAACAACAGGCAAGTAGATTTTCACCAGATCACAGAAACACACTTGTGCACTGTAGGCCTCTTTAATAGTCACTAATTCTTCACAACACTGTTCATAGGGTAAGCTGGACTTACTTCGAATATGTAGTCAGCACACTACCAGTGTACAATTCCTTAGTCTTTTCACTTTTAAATTGCTTACAACAATTCCCCAATACTTGCACAACAATTATCTTCAGTTGTCCTACTACCTACTAGGCTTGATCTTGATACTCAGCAGAAACAATCGACTGACTGAGTCAGCTTGGGCTTGTTTGGAGATTACTGGGCACTTCGCCTTTCGGCTATTTCGGTCGAAGCTGTTTTTTTTCCTAAGTCGTTTTCTTTGAAGCTCTTCCTTTTGTTCTTTTTGCTTTTCAATTTCCATTTTTCTTCTTGGTCTTGTTCTGGTATATACTCGAAAAGGTCTAAAAACGCTGATAATTTTAATGTTACTGTTTCTGGCTTTTTGGCTTGTTTGTCTTTTCTTCTCTCATGTTTAATTCTGGCTTCTCTTCTGTGGTCTTGTTGGGGTCTTGATTCTTCTTTTCTTCGGTCTTCACTACAAGAAGAGCCTCCTTGTAGCCCATTTTATTCTCGTTTCGCAGCTTAGCCACCCTACACTCCTCCCTTCACCTGGGACACTCCCGGTCGGAGGAGGAGTGAGGGCCACCATAAGCTGCGCATTTCTTGGCGGCCGCCGAGCAGTTGGTGTGCTGGTGCCTGGGTGTCCCGCAATTGCAACAGACCTCCCGAGCTCGACACTTCCCTGCCAGATGGCCATACCTCTGGCATTTATAGCACCTTGTGGGTTTTCTCTCATACGGTCTTCCTGGGATGTTTTCCCATCCCAGCAAAACGGTGCTTGGTAGATTCTTTGGGTAACCAGCCAGTGCAGTTATGCTGGTGAGCTTTCGTACTATTGAGAACAGGTCTCGATCAGCTGGGCCAACTCTTCTTTTTCAAGGAGTTCTATCTCGGTATGGGAGATGACTCCCAACACCAAGTTATCCTTTGTGTGAGCTTCCACTTGTATCTTGATCCCTTTAATTTCTGTAATGTTTGCTATTTGCTGGGCCTGTCCCCAATCCGCGAAGGTGACCATAAGGTCTGCGGACGACCCTTGTCACCTCCCTGATTCCTAAGGAGTCAAACAACTTCCTTAGGACAAGGAGGTTTAGTTGCTTGGGTAAGGGCATGTGAGTGGATACAGTCTTACGACCTTCGCCTGGTCACAGGTCACCCTCATCGTCAGGTTCACGTCGTACCTCGGGAGCAGAGAAGACCTTGCCTCGCCGAGGTGCGGTCAGCCGCACACTGCCGCTTATACTGTATACCTCATCAGCAGACGATCCCAGAACACCCTAGCTGCTAGCACAACCCAGAGACGCCTAGGAGGTTCTAGAACGTTCTATTCTGATCAAGGCTTACAATAAGAAGTAAATTATAACAAAAATGATACCATACATTCTAGAATATTCTTACATAAGTATTACATCAATATATACACGAAAATCTCCCTAAACTTGCCAAAATAACTGTTGCCTGGGACTCAAAATAACCAAAACGCCTAGTTTACAAACATTATACTACCAGGTTATGCCTCGACATGACAATATGTTGTGTTGTCAAAGTAAAAGAAACAATTGAGACCCTGCAATTGTGTGTAAATGAGGCAGAAAGTCAGATTAGCAACCTGGAACTAGGTCATATTTTTTGTGATGCCATATGGCAGCAGGAGTATATCCATGCTGAACTGATACCTGCATAGTTTGTATATATATATATATATATATATATATATATATATATATATATATATATATATATATATATATATATATATATATATATATATATATATATATATATATATATATATATATATATATATTGTAAATCTGTACCATAATTTCACTGAATAAATAATAATAATATTTATTATTATTATTATTATTATTATTATTACAACAACATATGTATAGCTTTATACCGGCCATAGTGATGATGGTGCCAATTTTTGGTCTCCAACAGAGCTGCATTACAGCAACGAGGAGGGTGTGGAGGCTGACGAGGGCATCGCCAGGAAGACCGCCCCTGTTGAGAAGACTACACCTGAACCTGGTACGTATCTATACGTCTGTACATATACACACACCCCACCTTTGTCCTGAGCGACTCGTCTTAAGCACCGTCTACATACATACAGGGTTTCCTCCCTGTATCTTTATCGTTACATAGTTCCAAGTACTTATTGATGATAACACCTGCTCACCTATATATGTCTTCACTCTCCCTCTCTCTTTTTATATATTATTTATGTTAAGATTTCAGCCCCACATATACTCATGACTTACATAGTGAGCCTCGTTCAGGTACACTGACGGCGGAGGTGCAGGCCGACACCCAGGAGGCGACACCGGAACCAGCAGAGAGGAAGAAGCGTGGCAAGTCGCCCTTCAGGTAAGTGTGGTGAGGTGAGGGTGGCGAGGTGAGGCGAGCGGCGAGGCGCTCGTATCACTAAGACTCCGCCTTCCTTCCCCAGATGAACACAAACAAAACTTCCTGACCAACTAGTGTGAGAGAGCTTTTGACACTATTCTACTAACTGCTAGGCGCCATATATCTATCACTCACAATATCCCCCCAGTGTTTGTCACTTACTAAACACGGATTTCCACAATACATGTAGAACATCCGCAAAATGTATTTTGGAAGTCAGTAATATTCGTTTAAATCTGAAGTGCAGAGTCATTAACTTATGGGCGATGTTCTACTGCAACTGAGTGTCTCTCTTGCAAGCATGGACCTGATACGTGAGGACCTGACGGAACGGCGCCTCAGGTTCAAGAGCAGGTGAGTGACTGGTTGCAGTATGGGACCCCCGCCGACGAGAGCACCGGGGGGCCGTCTACTGCTGCCTCCGTCAAGTCATTACGCTTCCTTATCACATGATATACTGGAAATATGGATTGTTGTTGCATGATGTCTACTCATGGGGACCAGTTTAACAGTTTGGCTTAATAGGGTGGGCAAGGGTGGAGTTGGATCCCTCACTGACCTTGTCGTGTTCCCTCCGCCGGCTGGACTGAGCAGACAGTTCCACACCGCCGTGACCGCCGTCATGGCTGCCAGGTACTAATGCGTCACCTTTACTTCATGTAACAGCACGCCTATATTTTCTTCACGCCCACACCCCTGCACCAGCCACGCGGTGCCCGCGACAACCAGCGGCACCACGCGCCTTAAGCACTTAGTGCCCCAGGCAGCCAGGAGCACCTAGTGTCCTGGGCAATTAGGAACACCTAGTGTCCTGGGCAGCCACGAACACCTATTGTCCAGGGAAGCCAGGGGCACCTAGCGTCCAGGTCAGCCTGGGGCACCTAGTGTCCTGGGCAGCTAGGGGCAGCCAAGGGCGCTTAGTGTCCTAGGAAGCCCGGGGCACCTGTGTCCTGGGTAGCCAAGGGTCACCTAGCGCCCGGGGCAGCCAGGAGCGCTTAGTGTCCTAGGAAGCCCGGGGCACCTGTGTCATGGGAAGCCAGGGGCACCTAGCGCTTGGGGCAGCCAGGGGCACCTGGCGCCTCGTCACCACACTCGTTCTCTTGCCTTTTCCGTCACATTTACTGTACAGCCTCCCACTGTTCGCAACACTTTCCACAAAAGTAACTAGACAAGTTATACAGCACTGTATCATGTAATTATTCATCTGTTCTTAAGTACTGTATGTCTAATATGATCCTATAAAGGCCAACTCCAAAGGTCGCTGTAATTATATATATATATATATATATATATATATATATATATATATATATATATATATATATATATATATATATATATATATATATATATATATATATATATATATATATATATATATATATATATACTGTATATATATATATATATATATATATATATATATATATATATATATATACTGTACATATAAACACCCTTGATTGTAACATTAACCAGCTAATCAAGATCTCCGGCTCCCTATTTAACGAATGACAGCTTTTAATGTTACAAATTAATGTTGTTGTCGGCATTTTATCAATTTTTATTGTAGTGAATGTTCCATTTTCGGTATGATTTTCACTCTTTTGACAGACAGTTAAAGTTGCCATAAGTTAAAGGGAGGGAGGAGCAGTTAAGGTTGAGAGTGCGGGTGTGTGTGTTGTGGTCAGCAGGGGTTGGCGGGTCACGCTGCTCTCGGGCACCTGGCTGGACGCGCCCTGCTACTGCTCTCCTGCAGTTATCAACATTTTATGGGACAAGAAACCTTTTCTATTTTGTATGATCCTATTTTACCATTGTTGTTTGGCAGCGTTCCAAGCTGCACTGCATTTTTTTTAATGTTTATTCCGTATGGATAGATGTACGTACATACATACATACATTCATACATACATACACACACATGTATATATATATATATATATATATATATATATATATATATATATATATATATATATATATATATATATATATATATATATGTATATACACATATATATATATATATATATATATATATATATATATATATATATATATATATATATATATATATATATATATATATATATATATATATATATATGTATATGTGTGTATATATGTGTATATATATATATATATATATATATATATATATATATATATATATATATATATATATATATATATATATATATATATATATATATATATATATGTATATGTATATACAAGCTTTACATGTTTCTCAGTGTACATATGGTGGCTTGACTCTTGTAGACATGGTGAGCAACTTGTGTTCCCTTAATCATGAGGCTGGACCAGCGGCTCAGTCCTCCTCACACTCTTTATCAACTTGGCATTATATTTATTTACTTCTGGAATCTGTGTTTACTTCTATATTTTATTAATGTTCTGGTATTGCTACAGTGGTGGTGGCCGAAGATGTTCAGTGTTGTTGGTGATGCGTATTCTTAATTCATTTTCCAATTGGACTTATCTCTATAAGTACTACTGGATAATGAACAGTTTCTTACTAACTTGCTAATAGAATCCAGAATCAAATAATGGTGTGTATAGTGAAATATAGTTATTATCAGTTGCCTGTTGAGGGACGAGGCGGTGAACCTGGGGATGACTCATGGTTCTCCCTCGCAGGTTCTTCAGTAAAAAGCGTGAGGCGAGTGCTGACCGCTCCAGAAGTAAAGGCCGCACCCCAGAGCCCTCTTCCAACAGCTTGGAAGTGCCTCGCCCCGGCAGGAAGAACCGTTCTCCCTCCGTCAGGCTCTCTCAGGGCATAGAGACCAAGTTGGTGCCTCCAGCTATTCCTGAGAGACAGGTACAGTTGGCTCATCTACACTGACCCCAACTCACGATAAACTTTCACCGAAAATAGAGGCTTTTATAATCTATGTACAGTAATAATTTGTTTCTGCGTCATTGGCCCACATTTAGAATGAATATAACATGAGTTGGGGTGCTGTAGATAGTGGCGGGAATAACTGATCTATATCGGCAGGGTGCCACGGAGGAGCTGCGGGAGGAGGAGCTATTTGATCCTGAGTGCCTCAAGCTGATGAACGAATACTTCTATGGTGTGAGGATCTTTCCCGGTCAGGACCCCGCCCACGTCTACATAGGTTGGGTCACCACGCAGTACCATATCCACGACACCGCCTTCGACCAGAGCAAAGTGCGCTCCGTCATCGTGCAAGAGTACACCGAGGAGGGACACATCCAGAATGCGTGAGTACAAGTTGTTATATAATAAACGATGTTACATGTTTTATTGTGTCAGTCGTACTAGTTAGTAAACCTTGATCACCGACGTGGGGTGCTCTAGTTGTTTACTTATTGGAAATATCATGTGATTGTATTGTATAGGCCAGTGGTGTTGCTGCCTCAGGTGCTGATCTAATGGACCTCAAGTAATTCTTTCCTCTGAGTTAAGTATCGTCCTCACAGGTAGTTCCTTGTCCATCCCTTTACTAATATCCCTTTTTGTACTATCCAACTCAACTGATGTACAGTTTGTAGAATGAAACTGTATAATTGTTGTGTACCTTTACAGCGTGGAGCGTCACAGCTGTTACATGTTCCGCGCTGACGAGCTGCATGCGGAGGTGACGTCAGACACAGGCAGTAAGGGTGCCTCTCAGGGCATGTTCATCGGTTGCTTCATCGACACTTCGACGGGCTTCATCACGCTGCAGTGTGACGGCAAGGACACGCGACACAAGTACCGCATGGAGCCCGGCACCAAGCTCTTCCCTGGGGTGTTCCTGGAGCCTACCAGCAAGGAGGTGCTGCAGATCGAGTTGGGTCGTACCCCCAACACGCTGCCCCTGAGTGCGGCCGTCCTCCAGAACAGTGATAAACATGTCGTGCCCCAGATGCCCCCCCGCCTCAAAGTCCAGATACTTAAGGTATGCCCACACGCTGGGAGTATGCTAAACGTGCTCTGAGTATACCCATTTGTTAAATTTATGACATGTATGCTCTGGCCTGCCCCCTTAAACCCCGAGTATGCTGTATATACTCAAGATATATTTTAAATAGTAGGATTGCCTCACATGTTCTGTGTGTTGTTGTGTTACAGCCTTACCAGTGGTCACGGGTACCCAACACGTCACTCAGAATTCACGCCCTCAAACTCTCTGACATCCGCGGCTGGTCCATGCTGGCTGAGGACTCCGTGCCGATGCTCGCCCTCCACATCCCTGAGGAGGATCGATGCATCGACATCCTCGAATTGATCGAATACGACAAGTTACTGAGCTTCCACTCTCACACACTTGCTCTGTACTGCGCCGTGTGCTATCAGAGCAATTACCGCGCCGCCCACACCCTCTGTTCTCACGTCGACCAGAAACAATTGCTGTATGCCATGCAGAGCGAGTACATGTCTGGCCCTCTCCGAATGGGCTTCTACAACCTCCTGATAGCGTTGCATCTTGAGAGCTTTGCTAACACAATGTAAGTCTTCACAGTTTTCTACTGGTGTTCTAGTAATCGACACTTGTTGAATATTACTCTACTGTTGTAGAAGCAGTTTCTCGTTTGTTATTGAATATGTATCGTGTACAGGGAGGTCACCCACAACGAGTTCATCGTGCCGCTGAGCAGCGAGCTGAAGGAAATCTACTCTGAGGAAGGAATGGGCAACTCCATGTCCGCCATCCACACCGAGTCCGTCCGTCCCGTCATGTCTATGTCTGATATCACGTATGTGTTAATAGTGGTGCCATCTTATCATACACTGCTGTTGTAGGTCACTGGAGCCATGCAAAACTTAAATTTAGCCAGATATGTTGTTGTTTTACACACTCCACTCAGCTGGTTTATCTCTACATTTTTCTCCAACAGAAGACACTAAGGTTCTTGTTTAAACATAAAGTTTGGGTTAAGTTAGTCGTATACTACAACCCGGTTTTAATTTATTTAGTATAAGAAGAGAGACTCAGTGGCTATTATAATCTTAGCTAAACTTAATGAGCGTTCAGGTAAAACAGCGACTTGCTACTCTCCAGCCTTCAACTTTTCTATAAGTTTTGATCAACTTACAACACTTGATTGACCTTTGCGTGCAGTTGATACTTAAAAAAACGGCACAATTAGAGGTGTGGAGGTAGCAGGTCGCCACTCTCATGACACAGGTGTTGTTTCTCACCTGGCAGGTTTATGTAAAACTGTTATTGTTTTTTATAATGTTGAATTAATGTTTAAGATTGACTAACATTTAACTAACGATAAATTTCCACGTAGTTTTGTGATTCTAATGTATGTTAGTTTTTTTTAACCTAGTTAGTTGTTTATTTATAATTATCATTTATGTTCTCTTGTTTTATATGTTGATTTGTTCTGTATGTCGTAAAGTAAAGCGCCAACTCTGACCATTTTTACCACATCGGGCAAAATTCAACTTATTTACGTCATGTTTCTGTTCTCTGTTACGTGTATTTATATATTTTTTTACTTTTTTCTTACATTGTTTTGGCCTCGTGTGCCCTGCTTGGCCATACCACCCTCCACTCCACCCCAACGCTTGGTCTCCTGCAACTGCTCCACCACCGCCACCACTTTGATTCTAAACGTCGCCGGAACAACAATATTTTTCTCTCCATATTTTCTCACTCATCGTTTCTCTCTGGAATCCATTACCTGCATGCCATACCAACCACTTTCAACTTGATCCTACCCTCGACCACCCACCCACCCACCCACTCACGTACCCGTCAACCCACCCGCCTGCCCTACCCGTCTACCCTCCCTGCTTATTCCTGCCTACTTTAGTCATCTGGTAAACCCCGAGACTATCTCCATCCATTCCACTCACGTGTCCAGCACCAACATAGAGACCATCAAGGGGCTCTCCTCACCTTACTTCCCACTCGACGTAGCCAGAGAGTTCGTCATGAATGCCCTCGCAGAAGCCGTCAAGACCAATCAGATCCACAACAGAGATTCCATCGGCGGCAGCAACGAAAATCTTTTTGTGTAAGTGATTAAGACTGTTGTTACATAGATTTGTCTTTACGTCCCCTCGAGACTTGGCTGACTGGCCAATCAGAAGGCATTAAGACTTTCTCTCACTGGCCAATCAGAGGACATTGAGATTTGGTTCAGTGGCAAATCAAATGTTACTGAGATATATAACTTGATTTATGAGAACATTTTGTATAAAAATTCATAAAAGAGAGATTGTGTGTGTGTGAGACGGTCAGTCAGTCAGTCAGCGCCATAGCAACAAAACCATGAAACCTAGAGACTTGAAATATTGCTTTCTTATACTGGGGGTATAGATGATTGTGTAGTTGATGGAGTGTAGTCACGCAATAGGCTATGGGCTGCCTCTCATAAACAAGCCCTGCAGCGTCAGGTCCCCTAGCTAGTATAGACAGCTCGTTTAGACAACAACACGAAATAATAATAGTACACCAGATTGTGTGATAACTTGTACTGTATGTGTGTATGTTACAGGCCGCTGCTGAAACTGGTAGACAAGCTGCTGTTGGTGGGCATCCTGCAGGACGACGATATCAAACGACTCCTCCTTATGATCGACCCTCAGACGTGGGACCCAGACTTTGAGCCAGGTAGGCGTTGTGGCGGGCCTGTGGGGGTGATCAAACGCCACACTGCCTCATCTCGTTTATAAAATGACATAAAGCGTGGATTTTGTTTTGTTTAACATGAATCATGTTACAAGAACTGTAACTTTTTAAGATTAGTATTTTTTGCTGCTATATATGATAGTGTTTATAGACCTGAATTCCAGTTATCTGTAGTATTCTGTACCAACGAGGATTTTGGTGACTCGCAGTCCTCTCATATGCTATAAACCATAAAATTTATATCTTACCAGCATAATAAAGATGAACAAATTAAAGGTATTAATTTAACTGCTGTATGTTTCAGTGGATGAAGGTAATATATTACAGCTAATGGTTATATACTTCAGAGGGTAAAGACGAAAACCGTATAGGTATTTTGTCGATGGAGGTCGCTGAGGGCGTGAAGCTACAGCTGTGTTACGTGCTGCACCACCTCCTCGATGTGCAGAAGCGTCATCGTGTTGAGTCTCTCATTGCCTTCGCTCAAGACTACGTGGGCGAGGCAAGTGTTTGGTGGCACGCTCACACCTGATGCCTAACCTGCATCAGTCGCCTGAATCCCCGTTTTAGGTGGTTGTTCTCTTCTCTCACTTTAGATGTTTTATACTTCCTTCCATCTTTATTTCTTCGTTCCATTTTTTCTGTGAAGGAAGAAGAGACAGAAATACTTTCTGTATCCATATGTACTGTACAGTTGTAGACGAAAAGAATTCGGCAGGTTGGCAGACAGGAAGGGAGGGGGTGTAATGGGAGGGATGGGGTGTAGGCGGAGACTTGGTACCGTAGCATCAGGGTGGTGTTGATAAGTCTCCTCAAACATTCAACTTTTACGTATTGAGTTATTTATCGCACAGTGTTGGTGTAAGATAAGCATGCGTCATAATTAGATATAAAAAATCAATTTGTGCTGTCAAACGAAAATCTCACCAGCACTCCCTCCCTGCTTGCCGAAGTCTTTTTGTCCACAACTCTATATTACTCGTATTCCAGTGAGAAACATAATTTAAACTAACTTCTACACCAGTTAATTAAATTGTAATGACATAAATCCAAGAAGGCGAAGGAACCAACCCAATCACATACAAGGTGCAGTCTTAGTCTCTTTCTGTCACACTAATCTGACCGCCTTACTGTTTGACTCACAAAGTGTAACGCAACTGTTAATTTAACCTTCAGATCCAACAAGATCAGCTAAGGCGGTACATTGAGATCAAGCAGTCAGACTTGCCGTCCTCTGTGGCTGCCAGGAAGACCCGCGAGTTCCGTTGTCCTCCCCGAGAGCAGATGAATGCCATCTTGGGATTCAAGAACCTTACCGACGAGGAACTTGAGGAGACACCCTGCGGAGAGGACCTCAGGAAGGAACTACAAAACTTCCACGAACAGCTCAGGGCCAAAGCCAAGATACCAGGATCTGAAGAAGTGGGAGAGTCTGAGGTGAGTGTCACGTCTCTTTATCACCTACCTCACCTACTTCACCTACCTCACCTACTTCACCTAACTCACCTACCTCCCCTACATTACCTTCCTCACCATTCTCACCTACTTCACCTACTTCACCTACCTCACCTACCTCACCTACATCACCTTCCTCACCTTCCTAACCTACCTCACCTACCTTACCTACTTCACCTATCTCACCTACTTCACATATCTCACCTACTTCACCTACTTCACCTACCTTACCCACTTCACCTACTTCACCTACTTCACCTGCATCACCTACCTCACCTACTTCACCTACCTTATCTATCTTACCTACTTCACCTACTTCACCTACTTCACCTGCATCACCTACCTCACCTACTTCACCTACCTCACCTACTTCACCTACTTCACCTACCTCACCTACTTCACCTACCTTATCTATCTTACCCTATAAACTACCTGCTTCCACCTCTTCACCCCTGCATCACCTACCTCACCTGCTTCACCTGCCTCACCTGCTTCACCTGCTTCACCTGCCTCACCTCGCTTCCTGCCTTGTCTATCACCTACCTCACCTACTTCACCTGCATCACCTACCTCACCTACTTCACCTGCATCACCTACCTCACCTACCTCACCTACTTCACCTACTTCACCTACCTCACCTACTTCACCTACCTTATCTATCTTACCTACTTCACCTACTTCACCCGCATCACCTACCTCACCTACTTCACCTACCTCACCTACTTCACCTACCTCGCTGCCTAAACCCCACCTACCTCCTGCTTCACTACCTCACCTGCTTCACCTACCTCACCTATAATACCTCACCTCCTACTTCACCTACCTTATCTGCCTTATAACTTCTTATGTCAGCTATCACCTATTCTTACCTCTTCACCTACCCTCCACCTACCTCCACCTGCTTCACCTCTTCTTCTTATAAACCACCCTCTTCTCCTTAATCACCCTGCCTCACCTACTTCACCTGCCTCACCTGCTTCACCTACCTCACCTACCTCACCCTCTTCACCTACTTCACCTACTTCACCTACTTCCTGTCACCTCACCTCCTCGCCCACCTACCTCCCCCTGTTCACCTACCTCACCTACTTCACCTACCTTATCTATCTTACCTACTTCACCTACTTCACCTGCATCACCTACCTCACCTACTTCACCTACCTCACCTACTTTAACTACTTCACCTAATTCACCTACCTTACCTATCTTACCTACTTCACCTGCATCACCTACCTCGCCTACTTCACCTACCTCACCTACTTCACCTACCTCACCTACTTCAACTACTTCACCTACTTCACTTACCTTACCTACTTTGCCTATCTTACCTACTTCACCTACTTCACCTACCTCACCTACCTCACCTGCTTCACCTGTACCCACCACCTCACCTATCCACCTACCTTATCTATCTTACCTACTTCACCTAGCTTCACCTGCATCACCTACCTCACCTCGCTTCACCTACCTCCCACCTACTTCACCTACCTCACCTACTTCCTTCTTCACCTCTTCCTTGCCTTACCTGCTTTTGCCTGTCTTACCTACTTCACCTACTTCACCTACCTCACCTACCTCACCTACTTCACCTACTTCACCTACCTCACCTACTTCAACTACTTCACCTACTTCACTTACCTTACCTACTTTGCCTATCTTACCTACTTCACCTACTTCACCTGCATCACCTACCTCACCTACTTCACCTACTTCACCTACTTCACCTGCATCACCTACCTCACCTACTTCACCTACCTCACCTACTTTAACTACTTCACCTACTTCACCTACTTCACCTATCTTACCTACTTCACCTACTTCACCTACCTTACCTACATTACCTACCCACCTCTTCTACCTCTTCACCTCCCCTCACCTGCTTCACCTACCTCACCCTCATCACCTACCTCCACCTGCTTCACCTCGCTTCACCTCACTTCACCTACCTTACCTATCTTACCTCTTCACCTACTTCACCTACCTTACCCCTGCATTACCTACCGCACCTGCTTCACCTGCACTTCACCTCCCTCACCTCACCTACCTCACCTACCTCACCTACTTCACCTACCTCACCTACTTCACCTACTTCACCTACCGCACCTACTTCACCTACTTCACCTCCCTCACCTACTTCACCTCCCTCACCTACTTCACCTACCTCACCTACTTCACCTACCTCACCTACATCACCTACCTCACCTACTTCAACTACTTCACCCAATTCATCTACCTTACCTACCTTAGCTATCTTACCTCCTTCACCTACTTCACCTACCTTACCTATCTTACCTACTTCACCTACCTCACCTACCTCACCTACTTCACCTACGACGACCAAATTGGTGGTGAAAAAACACACCAAGGATATGACAACAACAGCTAAGTTACCAACTCTTTCAGTTTCTGATATACCATTTGGACGTTAGCATAGTCAGGGACAAAGCTGACACGGACGGTACGAAAACTTTAATTGTTGGCGATTCCCAGGTACGGTACCTGGACAGAGCTTTTTGTGGTAAAAATAAAAATAGGATGAGGGTGTGTTTGCCAGGAGCTGGGGTGGGGGATATAGTTGACAGGATGGACAATATCTTGTCTGGTAATGGGAACAAACCCATTATCTGCCTCAGTGCAGGAGGCAATGATATTGGCCTGTGTAGGAGTGAGGAGCTCATGCAGCATTTCTTGGATAGATAGGACAATGTCATGTCTGACACCTTGAATGTTGCCACACCTGATAGTAGTCTGCCTTTCATGATCTCCCATGAAGTAAATTTGGAGGAACTTTGCCTGCTCATCTTCCAGTGGTAAGAGGGATCCTGCTTTGTGATAGACTTGACCCTGGACTTTGAATGTTGGTATGTATCCATGCTCACGAACTACTCTGGTAGCTCCAAAGGATGTCATCTGGAAGCATGAATTGTACTTCCGTATTTTTTCCAAGAAGTGTTTTGACTCTGGTGTTGTTCCCAGCATGAGAGTCTTCAATGGTTGTGGTGGTTTTTCCAAATTTGGCAGTCGTACTTTCCCATGAGAGCAGCACAGTCCAGCAGATTCTCCTTTGTACTTCTTTACACCGCAGTATTCACATTTCTTATCAATGTTGCCAATGACAACAGAGGGATACTTTTCATATTCTATCTCATTGTAATAGTTAAATGCTGCTCTTGCAAGTGGATGCCACTGTGTAATTCTTTCTTAGAATTCTGGATCCCGCAGCTCTCTGTCTATTAGTATTCAAACGAATTTCATGCGCTTGATCATTTTCAAGAGAAGGCCTTTCTGCTGTTTGCTATCTGTCAGCATTAAGACGGGATTCCGTTTCCTGATCTGTTTCCTGAGACCGACTGTCCGCTGTTCGCTCTCTCTGAGCATTAAGACGGGATTCCCTTTCTTGATCTGTTTCCTGTAACCGACTGTCCGCTGTTTGCTTTCTGTTAGCATTTAGACAGGATTCCGTTTCCTGATCTGTTTCCTGAGACCGACTGTCCACTGTTCGCTCTCTCTGAGCATTAAGACGGGATTCCCTTTCTTGATCTGTTTCCTGTAACCGACTGTCCGCTGTTCGCTTTCTGTTAGCATTAAGACGGATTCCCTTTCCTGATCTGTTTCCTGTGACCGACTGTCCGCTGTTCGCTCTGGGCGGCTCATCTGCTAAGCCACGGTAGGACGCCACCCTCCGGGAGGCTCCACATTGTCTCACTGTTCAGTCCCGTTCATTAACGGTGTATGTAAGTTCCACCACGTTTTTCACTACAACGGTACAGCAAAGTATATTTTTTTAGCATTACAGGGTAAACTGTTATTGTTTTATTGTCTAATCATCACTACATATTACATCATCCATCATTACTACATATAACACCATTCGTCATCACTATATATAACACCATCCATCATCACTACATATAACACCACCCATCATCACTACATATAATACCATCCATCATCACTACATATAACATTATCCATCATCACTACATATTACACCATCCATCATCACTACAGATAACACCACCCATCATCACTACATATAACACCATCCATCATCACTACATATAATGCCACCCATCATCACTACATATAACACCACCCATCATCACTACATATAACATCATCCATCATCACTACATATAACATCCATCATCACTACATATACACCATCCATCATACTAACACCATCCATCATCACTACACACCATCCATCATCACAACATATAACACCACCCATCATCACTACATATAACAACATCCATCATCACTACATGTAACATCATCCATCATCACTACATATAACACTATCCATCATTACTACATATAACACCATCCATCATCACTACATATAACACCATCCATCATCACTACATATAACACCATCCATCATCACAACATATAACACCACCCATCATCACTACATATAACAACATCCATCATCACTACATGTAACATCATCCATCATCACTACATATAACACCATCCATCATTACTACATATAACACCATCCATCATCACTACATATAACACCATCCATCGTCACTTCAGATCGGTAAAATAGTTTCCGAGATTCTGGTGCGGACACACATACACTCAAACACACAAACAAACACACACATAGACATACTTCTTTGTTTATATATATATATATATATATATATATATATATATATATATATATATATATATATATATATATATATATATATATATATATATATATATATCTTCCACTTGCAGGAGGTACCACCACCGGAGAGCAAAGGCGTGGTGGCCAAGTTCCTGGGTATCCTAGGTGGCGCGAAGGAGGAGATAACGGAGACGGCGCCGCCTGAACCTGTGGTGTTAGATGCCGCAGATAAGTTCAAGAAGGTCCTCGTGGAAACCATCGTCCGCTGGGCTTCAGAATCCTTCATAGAAACTCCTGTTCTTATTAGAGAAATGTTCAGGTTTGTCCAAGTATTTTCTAAAACATGAAGTATTCATCAAATATGGATATGTTATATATATTTTCAACCATCATTAACCCTTTAGAGGCCACGGATTTCTCTCAGATGAATAAAATAGTCAGGCGTTAGCCAGAATAAAATTCCCAAGCGCGACACTGCTCTGTAAAAGGTTATAATATTAGTTTCTATGAACAAAATTGTATCAGGTGTCTCAGACAATGACATACTCCACGTCTCCTCTAGCCTGCTACTGCGGCAGTACAATAGCATCGGCGAGATGATGGCGGCGCTAGAGAGGACTTACGTTATAAGCAGCAACACCAAGAAAGATGTCGAGACGCTGTGGCTGTGCCTCAGTAAGGTGCGCGCCCTCCTACCTGTCCAGATGTCCCAGGAGGAAGAGGCTCTCATGAGGGAGCTGCTCTGGTGAGTCACATGGTGTTCGCTCATTTCGGGATAAGGCTTATTACATAAGGTTAGGTTAGGTTAGGTTAGGTTAGGTTAGGTTAGGCAAAAACTACCTATGCTATAGTTCGCATTTCCCGTTCTCTCCTTGTCTCGAAATAACCTCCAACCAAGTCACATCACATCTCTACACAGCCTGAAGTGACAGTCACTTTGTCCTCGTCTTACCTCCTGTAGCTGCACGACCCTGTTAAAAGAGGTCAATGCTGCAGGTACTGTCTAGAGTCCTGTTTAAGTTCCGATTAGTAAACTTCCCTTCAGCAGGAAGTTCTCGTTTCATCACTTCTCTCCTGCGTCAATTCTGATTCCTATAAAGGGCCAATCGATTTAAAGGTTTTTGTAACTTCTGAAGATAGTTTGCTGTGTATTATAATATCAAAGTAATAAAGATTTAACTTTATTCAATATTAATCACAAGTATTAGACAAACCGTTGGTGTGGTGCTGAACTTTCAATCTTATTTGTTCCTTCCTTTCTGTAAGAGGAATAGACTACTGATTTTTCAGTTGGGTTAGGCAGCACTGTGATACATGCATTGAGAGAGGCTTTTGACTAGCCCACACTGACGCAACTCTTGTTTGATTCTTGCCCGTTGATAAACATATTGGGGTAATGATATATAAGTCCTCTACATAGAAATTGTCTCAATATCAGCAAGGGAATAAGTGAGTGATACAAGTGAAAGTTAAGAGGTATTGTGTTTATTTAAGACAGATGGGGACAGTAGGAGGCACTATGACCAGTAGGGGAAACATCTGGTGAAAATTAAGACAGTGTTATTAGGAAGTGTTGAGATTGTGATGATGTGAGATGGAGTGAAAAAGTTATTTTTGGGAGAATTTGGTAGTTTATGACTCGAGGTGAAGAGAAAATTGAGGTTTGTGTGTAAAGAAGTGAAACTATTGACGAATACTTTTGATAACTATACTGTACATATCGTTTAGAAAGCTCTTAAAAATAAGATATATGGGAGCCTGTAATATACACAGGTAAGCCAATGCTCGAATCCCGGCACTCAAAGGTGAATATTGTTTACATTCTTAGAGTAGGATACTTCAGGCTAAAATTCAAGGGATGATTTACGTTAGAGAAATAAAGAAAGTTAACCCTACCCTGTGTTTCTCTCCCACCCATCAAATCCACTTGTCGTCATTGATCACATTTACTGTAAACTGGTATTAATGTAGTGTTGTTCCCCCAGGACGCTCGTCAACAACCATATCTTCTTCCAACATCCTGATCTGATCCGCATCTTGTGCGTGCACGAGAACGTCATGGCTGTGATGATGAACACACTGGGGCGGCGCGCACAGGCGGTGGGCGAAACGCAGACAAGTGACGGCGAGGTGACACAAGCCAAGGAGAAGGTGCGGCCTCAACCACACCGCCACACCCATACTACCACATCCCTGCCTCCATCACACCCTCTGACCACCTCAGCTATTACTTATTATTGCTATGAAGTTATCTTAAATTTTAATCTTCACTGCAATTCACTTTTCTTACAACTCTATTAGTGTTTTTCTCTTCTTTGGTCTTGTACAATATTATGGTTTATAAATTTTCCTATCTGTTTGTTCATTATGTCATGGTGTTTGTGTCTTGTGTCGATGGTGTTAATGTGAGAGTTTATTTCATTAATATTGCTGCCAGAGTTGTGGTCCTGTGCACTGCGAAGGAATGACTCGTTGTTTTCACTGGAATTTTAGTTTTTGGGATTTATTTACACTTTTTTTTTTAAATTAGCAAAGTCAATATGAAAGATGGATGGCTCTGCATGTTGTTGTTTGCTCAGTTCTTAAGACACAAGCCCATAGAACTACCAGGAACACATTTCGTGGTAGAAGGAGGAATGGGAGGAGAAGAAAATGAAAGAAGAGAAGGAGGAAGAGGAGTAAAGAGATGAGGAGGAGGAAGATGAAAAGAACGAGGAGGAGGAGTAATGAAGACTTATATATGAAAAATTGATCGATTACTTTGACTAACATTTTCGTAGGTAAAGGCCGCTAGGACTCTTTCAACATTCTCCTGATGGGATTTGGGGTAATTCTAAAATTTTTGTCTTTATCATGTACAGTATGTGGTGTACAGAAATTTGCTTTTGTTATCCATTGACAATATTTTTTTTTAAATTTTCCAGCAGTATATATTTAATACATTATTAAGTGCGTGTGTGTTAGGGGTCACTCCTAGAGGTCTTATTCCTGCCTCTTACTTACTCTGCCTCCGGGCTGGGTATATTTAGCTTGTATCCTCCTGGCTGATGTTGTAAGCTTAGTGACGGTGTGTTGTGGTGTATGGTGTTCTACTGTGTGTTGACTTGTTGAAACACTGTTGGCTACTAAACATCTGTTCGATTTTTAGTGTTCGGGTATCGACATCTTTTCACTTCGTGGGTTGAACTCGCTTACCAAACGATATGTTATTATTATTATTATTATTATTATTATTATTATTATTATTATTATTATTATTATTATTATTATTATTATTATTATTAATTATTATTATTATTATTATTATTATTATTATTATTATTATTATTATGGTTGTTATTATTACAACTGTTCATATAAAGCACTCATCGACCAATACGATATATGGTATACCTAAACTCTGGAGTATATACAGTATAGGTCATATTGGGGGAGGGAGTGGTGGGCGGGAGGGAACATGCTCGTTTAGGGGCCACTGGTCCACGCTGACGAGTGTTGGCCGTGTTGGAGGTCGCCAGTCGAGGTTGCGTGTATTGTCGGAGTTGTCGCGTCCACTTCACTTCACTTCACGGGTTATGTTGCCGCCACACACATACACGGTGTTGCTCTGGCTTCTGAATGGTTCTTCATGTTATCGTTTGCATTACCTAGACTTGCTATACTCATACTTTTCCTATATTGATTTTTTTCCTGTTTGTATTTGTGTATAATACATAAGGTTTATGCATGAATTAATACTTTTTAAAATAATATTGATAATAACTAAATGTTGCCTGTCATCATTGGGCTTCTTGACAATATATATATATATATATATATATATATATATATATATATATATATATATATATATATATATATATATATATATATATATATATATATATATATATATATATATATATATATATATATATATATATATATATATATATATATATATATATATATATATATATATATATATATATATATATGAGTGCATAGATCGTTTTATTAATCTTTACTATATTTGTTTCATACTTAATGTGTGTCAGTTGTCAGGTACAAATGGTTGTTATATACTGTGTGTGTCAGTACCCTATTATGAAATTATGTACGAGTAACTACCATGATGCTGTGTGTGTGTCACTGTGTGAGTGTTTTTGTGTATATGACTTACTAACACATAGAATATGCATGTGTTGCTACTATGACACGAACAGTATGTGTCTCACTGATCTGACACATTCATTATATATGCATGTATCACTGCCCTGACACACAACAGCTGTGTAAGTCACTGATCTGACACACAACAGCTGTTTAAGTCACTGCCCTGACACACAACAGCTGTGTAAGTCACTGATCTGACACACAACAGCTGTTTAAGTCACTGCCCTGACACACAACAGCTGTGTAAGTCACTGATCTGACACACAACAGCTGTTTAAGTCACTGTCCTGACACACAACAGCTGTGTAAGTCACCGCCCTGAAACAACAGCTGTGTGAGACACTGCCCTGACACAACAACAGCTGTGTGAGTCACTGCCCTGACACAACAACAGCTGTGTGAGTCACTGCCCCGACACAACAGCTGTGTAAGTAGTCACTGCCCTGACACACAACATATGTGTAAGTCACTGCTCTGACACACAACAGCTGTGTAAGTAGTCACTGCCCTGACACGCAACAGCTGTGTAAGTAGTCATTGCACTGACACACAACAGCTGTGTAAGTAGTCACTGCCCTGACACACAACAGCTGTGTAAGTAGTCACTGCCCTGACACACAACAGCTGTGTAAGTAGTCACTGCCCTGGCTGGTCATCGCCACCATCTTATCAGTTCTAAGAAGAATCCTGTGTCTTTGTCTTGTCAACTGACCCCTTTGTTAAGAGAGTCTTCAGTGAAAAGGTTTTGTCTTCTTATTTCTTCCAAGCCTCCGAAACCTACCTTCTACAGCCTTTTCCTCCCGTAAGTGCCACCCACAGCGGCCTGCAGCTGTGGGCCTTCATTCTAGTTCTTGGGAAGGGTGATAACATGACACAAGTTACTCACAGTAAAATGGCATGAGGTCAGATTTGCCTTAAGAGTCACTACAGTCAATGAGTTGACTCATCTACTTGTTTTAATAAATCAATTCTGTTCAATTTATTGGGTATATTACACACGAGGTTATAGTCCCCCGTTCCTGCAGTGTATAAAATCCTGGACGACCTCTCAGTGTTTATGGGCTGTGGTCGAGACCATCTGAGGGCAGTTAATATAACAAAGCTTCACTCGAGCAACTCGTCAAACCCTCTTCACTTAACTTAATTATTGCTAATGCCAAGAAAAGACGCGGCATTTTTCCTCAAGCACTTTTTCTGTTTTCATATTATAGACCTATGTATAATAATCACTGTCGTGGTCCCTTTACATTCAAGCATTTTTACTGCACTTTTTTATAATTCTTAAGCCTGACAACTTTAACTTGAACAATATTTACTCCAATCTGTTATTTTTGTGTAAAGTATAAAATTTCGTTGACATATTTGTGAGAAAACACCAATGCAAAATTAATTCTCATAATATGTTGGTCTTTGGTATTTATACTCTTAAGAATTATTACTGTATTGCTGAAATGTGTGTAAATGTAATAACAAAACAAAAAGAGTTCCATGAAATATAGTGCTTTTTTGTAGACTCATAAATGATGAGCTAAAGTGAAATATATACACATAGAGGGTAGCTAAACTATGTGACCTGACGTGACCTGGTGGGGTGACCTCTGGCCGGCAGGACACGTCGCACGAGATGGTGGTGGCGTGCTGCAAGTTCCTGTGTTACTTCTGTCGCACGGGCCGCCAGAACCAGAAGGCTATGTTCGACCACCTGCCCTTCCTGCTAGAGAACTCCTACATCCTGCTGTCCAGGCCTTCCCTACGAGGCACTACGCCCCTTGACGTCGCTTACTCCTCCCTCATGGACAACACCGAGCTGGCCCTGGCCCTCAGGTACTACACGACCAGGGAACATGTTAACGTCTGCGGACTTTATACTTGGTCATGTTTCTCTTCCAGTAGAGTTGGTTCAAGTTTTAACATCCACCTGATATTTTTGTCCCGAATCATTAAATAATTCCGATCACTTGTACACTCTGCTTCCAATCCTATTCAAGTGATGATTAAACACCCTAGAATTTACGTAACTTAACCTAACCTAACTTAACCAAACAACCTAACCTAACCTCCCCAGGTAGCATTAGGGTAATCAATAATCACATGAAATAAACTGGGGTGCCTAATCTTGAGGTGATCCAATGAATCAAAATACAACATGTTTATGAAATCATTATTGGCCATCTTGAATTCGTGGTCAAATTCCTCACCGCTCTCCTCCATTTCAGGGAATACCACCTGGAGAAGATTGCTGTTTACCTGTCTCGCTGCGGCCTGCAGAGCAACAGCGAGCTGGTGGAGCGTGGCTACCCAGATCTGGGCTGGGACCCTGTGGAGGGCGAGCGTTATCTGGACTTCCTTAGGTTCTGCGTCTGGGTGGGAGGTGAGTATCTGCTAGGAGGGAGAGAGAGAGAGATAGAGAGAGAGAGAGAGAGAGAGAGAGTAAAGAAAGAAAGTGTGAGAGAAATCTGCTTGTGATTTTATTTTTCATTTTGTTCTCTGGTGTTTGAGTTACTTTGTTTACATATTAATTTGTGTACGAATTTATGTAATTTCCCATAAGTATGTATATATGAATGTATTGTTGTATTATGAATAGAAGTGAGAGCACATTATGTAAGCGTATGATCGAGTGTTCATACAGTACTTCAATTGACAAACGAATGACAATACAATTTTCAGTAGTCTGTACTAACCTACTACAGTATGTTCTATTAATTACTCTTATTCTAATCCTTACTTTCGCACTAAATTTTTCCTTTCGAGCTAGATTAGTTCAGTAAAAATATAATTTGTTGACTTTTCCTATTAATAAATACACCCTTCAATCTTTGATTTATTTTAATGTAGAGCTTTTAAAACAATTCTGATAATTCTGCTTAACGAGAGTAGTGATGCCTGTTACGCTGTGAGTATTTTCACACATTTGGCAAGGTCTCCGCTCTTCCTCCTCCGCATGCTGTCATTTGATAGGTCACAGTTATCCCAGACTTGATCTATCAGATTACAGCTAAGAGCAGGAAGACCACACCTTCAGCGTCCCCGTCTTGGTGACGTTGGGTGTAGCCCGACTGGCCTGTAGTGTCGCTCCCTTTTACCAGGTCTGAACCGGGACCAGGAGCTGCAAGGTACACCCGCACCACCTCTCACACACCCCTGTTTCCCTCGCTCACTCACACTCTTACACTCACTCTCTGTCCCTCACTGAGCATCACACCTGTAGTTCACCAGGTAGCCAGACCCTCACGCCTGCATACCCCAGTAGTCTCCACCCATGAGGTCCTGGGAGGGTGAACGGGTCCTCCCTTCCATGGGGTCCTGGGAGGGTAAACGGGTCCTCTCTTCCATGGGGTCTTGGGAGGGTGAACGGGTCCTCCCAATCATGGGGTCCTGGGAGGGTGAACGGGTCTTCTCCACCATGGGGTCCTGGGAGGGTGAAAGGGTCCTCTCCACCATGGGGTCCTGGGAGGGTGAACGGGTCCTTTTCACCATGGGGTCCTGGGAGGGTGAACGGGTCCTCCCCACCATGGGACGGGTCGACTGGCGTATATTTAGCATTATTGTGTGTTTTATCATGTGGCCGGTAATTTGACTCCCGGTAATTTGACTCCGGTAATTTGGCTCCTGGAAATTTGGCTCCTGGTTATTTAACTCCTAGTCACTTTCACTCCCGGTTATTTCACTCCCGGTAATTTCACCACCATTTAAAACATTGCGTTTATTTATTAAGACAATGAAGGGTGTACATTTGATAAAATGTATTTGGACAGCATTTAAAAGTTCCATCACCTGCCCAATGTTTTACATGCAGCAAGTGATCCAGACCCTTATCCGTTTCAAACACGAGTAATCTATTTACGTCATTTTCACCACTATCAAATTGCAGGAAAAGTTCGCCAGTATCAGGAATTTTATAGCCAGACCGATTCTGGGGAATTGGAGGGGCACTCACTTTTACTTGACGCCATTTCCTTATATTCCGACTTGACATGAAGAGGATGGGAGCTCTGCCATTTCATTTTCATCCAAATTTCCACTAGTAGCAGCAATAAGTGAACGAGAACATTCTTGAGAGGATATTGCTGCAACCTTCAAGTCAGCTCAATTTTTACGAATTTTGGGTTTTGCAACAGAAAACCTATGATGATGTTCACCGACACGTTTAAGTATGCCTTAATCCTCATCATGCGTCAGGGTGTGGACTCGAGCTTTGCAACACTTCTCTTCACATTTCCAATAAGTCTTAGATCCATTTGCATTTCTTTTCTGTGCTTCGTATATGTAATTCATACAAGTTTCTCCCTTCCCCTGGTGCTGGTAATGACGTGAGGCATGGTAACAAGGGTATACGAATGAGTTATGATCAACCTTCACCTGGTGGTGCCATCTTCTGGTTTTTTAAAATTCTAAAATTTTAATGCTTGCTTAAACTAGATTTCAAAACTACTTAAAATAAATCTTTAATTTTTAACTACTTAAACCAAACTATATTTATGTTAAATTTATTACCATTACTATTATAATTATTTATTGAAACAGGAGTGGATTATCCAACCTCTGGTAGCTACTGCAACCAGCCGTTCAGCACTTATAGAACACTAAAATATATTTTAATTCTTTATTATATTAAGAAGTGTTTCTAATATTTTTTTATAAATGTTATTAATAAATGATTTAAATATATTTTTTTAATGTTGGTGAAATTACCGGGAGTGAAATTACCGGGAGTCAAATTGACTGGGAGTTAAATTACCGGAAGTCAAATTACTTGGGGTCTTATAATCGGGGTCAAATTACCGGGAGTGAAATTACCTAGAACCGTTTTATACATATCAGTACAAACAGCCCTGAAGATTGTCTTGCTAGGGTGGACAACTGGCCGCCATCGCTGATGTTGTGGGAGGGTCGCGTGTCACCGCATGTCCAGGGTGTCACAAAGGCCAGGTTCATGAAGGAAGGAATCAGCCCCTTGGCTCACCAGTCTTATTTTTAGATCATATGAAAATTTTAAGATAGAGGGTTTTAAGGTTATTTATATCGAATAATGTTATTAATTTGTGTTTCATTCACTTTTCTATTTGACCCTCGCCCAATGTCTTCAGGGCTGATTCGAATGCATTTTCGTGTCGTTGCCACTGCTGATTCATTCCTTAGGTGTTCGAACTGAGTTTCTGTGCACAGGTGGATATTTTTGTTCTACGGTTAAGATGGAAACGTTGTCTTGGACGGTGTTTTGTGAGTGCATTCGTTGTGTGTATAATAGTCGGAGTCCCTCACCAGTATATATTAGCAAATTTCCTAATACGCAACTTATACGATATATGTTAAGTAGAATTTTTCTTCAGATTTTATGTATTATTTTGTCAACACCCGTTTATACTTTTATCAAAATGAGTCACATTAGATTTGCTCTTGTAAGATATTATTGAGGTAAAACTAATAAGACCTTAAACCACAACTCAAGTGATGAACATGACTCGAGTACTCCTCACTAAGAGTTAACATCAGTGTATTCAGTAGTGACCTGAGAGGAGGATCAAAGTGTTGAGACATTAGAGACAAGGGAGGCCGGAGGTGAGTGTTATAATATGTGTCCTTCAGGTGAGAGCGTCGAGGAGAACGCCAACCTCGTCATCCGTCTGTTGATCCGCAAGCCTGAATGTCTGGGCCCGGCGCTGCGAGGCGAGGGTGAAGGTCTGCTGCGTGCCATCATCGACGGTAACAAGGTAATGGATCCACACACACACACACACACACACACACACACCATTCTTGTGTTACATTAGATGGCGGCCCCGCCTCCTGGTCTTTAAAAATAAGTATCGTTGTATGCACAGTAATTCCTTCCATGGTGGATGTTTGGTGATTAAGTGCAGCTTAAAGTTACTTAAGAGACCAGTCCACTGCACCAGTTCACTACCACTACACTACTCCTCCCAGTGCTGTGTAAAGCTTCATCCAACAGTAGATTAGTAAAGTTGATAAATTTATATTGTACAGCAGTTTACAGTCATAGCTTTAAAGTTCCTTATTGTAACTTTTCTTTACGGTTACTGTGAGCGATACAACTGTTCCTTGGAATCGATTACTTAATTCACTGGAGTAGGTGAAGGTTCAGGATAACGAGTATTAGTGGAGCTGTTATTGTACCAGGGTTAATATAACACAAACAGTCACAGAGGCAGAGGAGCTTCACGCTCACACTACTGATGGATCTGAGAGTAGACAGAAATTTGAACAACGCGAGAAAATTATAATATTAATATATTTTATCATTGTCACAGATGTCAGAGCGCATAGCAGCGCAGCGTCTGGGCGCAGAGGCTGAGGGAGCAGTTCCTATCGACCACCCGATGCCAACCGGCGACGACGACGAGGACTACATCGACACAGGTGCCGCCATCCTCGCCTTCTACTGCACCTTGGTGGACCTGATGGGCCGCTGTGCTCCCGAGGCTAATGTTATCGCCCAAGGCAAGAACGACAGTCTGCGAGCCCGAGCCATCCTCCGCTCCCTGGTGCCCCTCGAGGACCTGCAGGTGAGTCTCCCTAGCCCCCCATTACTCATAGACTCACTCTGTCATGTCGTCATGTTGTTGAAGAATCACCTTGTAGTTCACAGCTCAGTGATACCCATTTGTACCTACCTGTTTGAATTACTATACAGTATATACTTTAGAATCTAAATATTAGGTACTAGCTGAAACACTGCCCTCCGGGCGGCTCATTCGCTAGGCCACGGTAGGACGCCACCCTCCGGGAGGCTCCACATTGTTTCACTGTTCAGTCCCCAAAACTTCTTCTTCCATCAATAGTTCATTAACGGTGTATGTAAGTTCCACCATGTTTTTCACTACAACTGCACAGCAAAGTATATTTTTTTAGCATTAAACTGTTATTATCTTATTGTCTTATCATCACTACATAGAACACCACCCATCATCACTATATATAACATCATCCATCATCACTACATATAACACCATCCATCATCACTACATATAACACCATCCATCATCACTACATATAACAACACCCATCATCACTACATATAACAACACCCATCATCACTACATATTACAACATCCATCATCACTACATATAACACCACCCATCATCACTACATATAACAACACCCATCATCACTACATATAACACCATCCATCATCACTACATATAACACCATCCATCATCACTACATATAACACCATCCATCATCACTACATATAACACCATCCATCATCACTACATATAACACCATCCATCATCACTACATATAACACCATCCATCATCACTACATATAACACCATCCATCATCACTACATATAACACCATCCATCATCATTACAGATCGGTAAAGTAGTTTCCGAGATTCTCGTGCAGACACACAAACAACCACACACACACAAACAAACAGACATACTTCTTTGTTTTATATAGATAGATTCACACCCATGTTTATATATACTTGTAAAATGGTATATCAACTTCTTGAAACTGTCTCCACACACACACACACACACACACACACACACACACACACACACACACACACACACACATACACGCACGTACGCACGCACCTGTATGTACAGGTACATACATACATACATACATGTATGTGGTGGTTCCCGGTATTAAATTGCTACAACAATTGTGTGCTTGTATGTGTGTGTAGGGTGTGTTGTCGCTGCGCTTCACACTGTCCAGTACTGCGGCTGAGGAAGGCCGCAGTGACGTTCCTCCCGGCCTCATCCCGGCACACAAGCAAAGTATCGTCCTCTTCCTGGAGCGAGTCTACGGCATGGACAACGTCGAGCTCTTCTTTAGTCTCCTGGAGGACGCTTTCCTTCCTGACATGCGTGCTGCCACTTCTTTAGATAAGGTGAGTACTGTGTGTCCCGTGACCTACAAAGGATTTAAGAACTGGTATTTCTTACATAACGTAAACACTTGGATACTGTCGCCATTTTGTAAAATTAAATGGGTAAACTTTCCGCTTCTTAGATAGTGTGAGTACTTCTGCCACGTAATTATATAGGTGGAAATTGATGCTTTACAAAAATAAGCCAAATAAAATTTCACTACTACATATTAACGGGGATATAAGTCTTACAGACTACAGCTTGGTGGGCTACCTTATATTGGCATTACCCAGTATAGGAGTGCATGACTACACGGCGGTGGTCAGTATGATGGTGTACATCAGCCATGAGACATAATTCTTATGTTCGCTTCTTACCTCGCACTGTACAGTCTGACGGATCCGAGTCGGAGATGGGTCTGGCCCTCAACCGGTATATTGGTAACTCCATCCTGCCTGCCCTCATCTCTCACTCCAGCTTCTACGCCGAGGCTGACCAACATGCGCCACTCCTCGATGCCACCTTACACACAGTCTACCGCCTCTCCAAGTGCAAGGTAATGTGCTGCTTACCTGTACTAAGCTTGTAGGACAGTCTGACTATTACAACTAGTGTGTGTATATATATATATATATATATATATATATATATATATATATATATATATATATATATATATATATATATATATATATATATATATATATATATCATTCACACCATTTATCTTATGAAACACTAAAATGTTCCCTGCGGTACAGATCCTTACCAAGGGGCAGCGTGAGGCAGTGTCCGACTTCCTCATTGCACTGACCAGGGAGATGCAGCCCGCCGCCCTCCTGCCTCTCCTGCGTAAACTCACCATTGACGTCTCCAACCTCTCTGAGTACACCACTGTCGCTCTCAGGGTAAGTCACTGTTGCAGGGAGCCCTTTACGGCCCTCCTGGTCATCTATTCTTGTTATGCTGTCGGGATGGTGAAGTACCTTTGTGTTTACATCTGACTGTATGTTAACTTTGCCGCCCACCTGTGAACGTTGATATATACATAAAATATGAATTATTATTGTCTTATAACTGTTACAACGATCACTATAAGCTGCTGGAAAAGAATGTGACTTTATGGGTGGTTGGTGTAGTGGTGAGAGTGTACAGGGGAGGAGTGAGGAAGTAGTTGTAATAGTTGTAGTAGTAGTAGTACTTGTAGTACTATTACAGGTAGTAGTAGTAGTAGGTGATATCCGAACAGAAGCAGCAGCCCAGAAGTTATGTTACAGCCTGGATGAGATGTCGACTGTCCTTCTCTCTCCTTCGGTCGGCTTTGCTCTGCCTCAGGGGAACGAGAGCTTCGCCCCCAAAGCCGACAACAGTTGCAGATATTGACTATGAGGCTACAGTCACTGAATGCCGCATAGATCTGCGGCTCAACTAACTCAACACAGCTAGGATAGCTACTTATGTATTAGGATATTTAATATTAAGGTAATAAAATGGTGGCGAAGGTATGGCTATTGGGGGAGGCTGGAGGCCATATTAAAAAATAAAGTAGTAGTAGTAGCAGTAGTAGCTATAGTAGTATTACAGGTGGTAGTAGTAGTAGTAGTAGTGAAGATCTAGAGAACATATCGTGAGGTAGCAACAGTAGTACAGTAAACAGACATAACACTTGGATGTCTCCTCCACCAGCTGCTAACTCTGCATTACGAGCGCTGCGGCAAATACTACGGCACCTCTTCCAACACCCCGGGCACTGCCTCTGAGGAGGAGAAGAGGCTCACTATGATGCTTTTCACCAACATCTTTGACTCCCTTGCCAAGATGGAGTACGATCCTGAACTCTTCAGTAAGGTGAGGACGGGGCACGTCACGTTTAGTAGCTCCTGTGATGAGAAATGAAAAAAAAACAGTGGACAATAAAAGTTGATATCCCCTAAATGTTATTTGTTGAGTATACCTTGATTCTTCACACCTTTTGAATTCATGTCATGATAGCTTCTGGAAAAGTAGTTGGTCATTCCGGGTGTCCCAGACAACATACGTGATGCTTAAATTACAATTTTAAGTCATAAAGTAATTTGACACGTTGTATGACAGGCTCTTCCCTGCTTATCGGCTATTGGTTGTTCACTACCTCCTGACTACTCACTGACACACGGCCACGAGGACGAGCTCTACAACACCTCCTCCTGCGCTGAGGGTCCCTACAAGCCCACGCCCATCGATACTATGGAGTTAGTGAAAGATTAAGACTTAAGTTCTTAGGTGGTGTAGCTTTTGAGAGAGAGAGAGAGAGAGAGAGAGAGAGAGATGTAAGCAGGTAACAGAGAGACAGAAATATGTGAACGAGAGGGATATGGGGAAGGCAGGTATGTGATGTGGTGTACAGTCGTGAACAGAAGTCCTGTCGCCCCTTGTGCTGTTCCGCGAACCAAGAGATTCAGACTCATGAACCCGAAGCAGTAGACACTGGTGCATTATTCTGCCCATAAATGCTTCGGATTCATGAGTCTGAATCTCAGGGTTCGTGGAGCAGCAGAAGGGGCGACAGGACTTTTGTTCACGAGTGTACAAGGGTCGATTTACCTGGAGGGGGCTAGGCGTAACTCTAAGATATTTTGCATCATAAGAATGTTAATTATATTTAAACGAATATAGTCAACCTCACCTATATTTAAAACAAGTAATGTCAGTGGTTTATGTACTTAAGATAATCATTAATGTACTGTAGTCAAAATTTGTGAATGACGTCAGTACTGAACTAAAGAGGCCACAAGTAATGGGTTTATTATTGTATGTGTTCAGAGTGCAGCTGGACCAGGACATCACGGACCTCATCAAGAAGTTCAGCGAGCACTACCACGACGCCTGGGCCTCTCGCAAGCTGGAGAGTGGCTGGTCCTACAGTGAATCTTACTCATCTGAGGAGAAACTTCACCCAAGGCTCAAACCCTACTCTATGTTGTCTGACTATGTGAGTTATCTCCCTGTGTTGCCTGAGTGAGTTACTTTCTCTCTTAGAGTGCTAGCAAATGAATGAATTTAAAGTAGCAGTATAATGGTGTTAATGGTGTCTTTGTGGTGCAGGAGAGGGAGCGCTACCGGGAGCCAGTGCGCGACGCCATCAAGGCGCTTCTGGCCATCAACTGGAACATCGAGTACGAGAGCACAGAAGGCCTCAGTACTAGTGGTCGAGAGCAGCTGCACCGTCAAGATACTGTGAGTACTGCACGCCCTCCCACGTTTTCTACTTCCAACATCGTCTACCTCCCACGCCTTATACTTCCCACGCCTTCTACTTCCCACATCTTCTGCCACCCATACCTTCTTTCTCCCACGTTTTCTACCTCCCACGCCTTCTACTCCCACGCCTTCTACCTCCAATGCCTTTTACTTCCCATGTCTTCTACCTCCCACGCCGCCTACCTCCCACGCCGTCTACCTCCCACGTCTTCTTCCTCCCACGTCTTCTATCTACCACACCATCTACCTCCCACGCCTTGTACCTCCCACGCCTAGGTTAAGACCATGTCCCTTTCCACAAACAACTGTCATAAGTACTCACACGTACGCGAGAAACAGCAGATGAATAATTACCGTGTTGTTTCCCCCACAGTCGGACCTGTACAATTATAACCCTCAGCCAGTAGACATGACCAACCTGACGCTGTCCAGGGAGATGCAGAACATGGCTGAGCGCCTGGCTGAGAACGCTCACGACATCTGGGCCAAGCGCAAGAAGGAGGAACTGGAGGCATGCGGTCAGTGTACTGCTTTTTCTTCTTCATTCGTGTACTGCTTCCTTATTTTGTATTCTTTTTCCTCCTTATTATTAATATTATTATTATTATTATTATTATTATTATTATTATTATTATTATTATTATTATTATTATTATTATTATTATTATTATTATTATTATTATTATTATTTTTATAATTGCTGTTATTGTTGTTATTGTTATTATTATTATTATTATTATTATTATTATTATTATTATTATTATTATTATTATTATTATTATTATTATTATTATTATTATTATTATTATTATTATTATTATTAAAACATTGTTTTATTATCACAGGCTCCTTTACATTTTATGACAGTTTCCTCTAAAGTTCATTTTCTTTGACGTTTGAGAGATACCATGCTTTATTTATGCTGTCTATGCGAAGTTGTAACTACCTTTTCTGACCTCCTCCTCCACCAGGTGGCGGCATTCACCCCCAGATGGTGCCTTACGACATGTTGACAGAGAAGGAAAAGCGTAAAGATCGCTTCCGGTCTGTCGAGCTGCTCAAATATCTTCAGTTTATGGGCTACCGATTGACCAGGTGAACTGACGTCTATGATGCCATAAAGATTGATGATTGTATATTTGTTATGATAGAGGACCGTTGTTGTATAGTGAGTAAGCCATAACACTGTGTCGGTTGGTGTTCCTCAGGGCCCATGGTGATGGTGACGATGGCGGGGCTGCCTCTGGAGCGGTGGAGCGCCGCTTCGCATACAGTCTTTTGGAGAAACTGTTGCAATACCTCGACTGCGCTGCCATCAACATGAAGCTATTCAGGCCATCGTCTAACCTCTCCAGACGCAACTCCTTCAAGACTTCCACCAAGGACGTCAAGTTCTTCTCTAAGGTCGTCCTCCCGTTGATGGAGAAATACTTCAGGTGAGCCAAGTGACACCATGAGGCCGGTGTTGAGGCTCTGCGGCCATCTTGATATTATTAGGATCATGGCTGCTAATATTGCTAATTTCTTGCTACTAAAGTCATATTGATAATGCTAGGACCATGTTGATACTGCCAGAGCCTTACTGATACTGCTAAGGCTATGTTAATACTGCTAAGGTCATGTTGATACTATTAGGGCCATGTTGACACTACTAGGGCTATGTTGGTACTACTTTGGACATGTTGATACTACTAGGGCCATGTTGACACTGCCAGAGCAATACTGATACTGCTAGGGCCATGTTGATACTGCCAGAGCATTACTGATACTGCTAGGGCCATGTTGATACTTCTAGGGCCATGTCGATATTACTATGGCCATTTTGATTTTACTAAATCCATGTTTATGCTGATATTGTCTTACTGATACTGCTAGGGCCATGTTGATACTGCTATGGCCATGTTGATACTACTAGGGCCATGTTGATACTACTAGGGCCATGTTGATACTGTCAAGGCCTAAATAATGCTAGTAATTATTATCAAAACTACCAAAACCCATGATGATACTACCGGGGCTTTCTTGATAACACCTTGGGTATGTTGGTACACCCAGGGCCATGTTGGTACTGCTAGGGCCATGTTGGTACTGCTAGGGCCATGTTGGTACACCCAGTGCCATGTTGATACTACCGGGGCTTTCTTGATACCACCCTGGGTATGTTGGAACACCCAGGGCCATGTTGATATCGTTCACCAGACAGAACTAAATACTTTCACTTGTTTCTTTAACTGTTGTCTTGGTCTGCAGCACCAACCGTAACTACTTCCTGGCGGTGGCGCTGACGACGAACATGGTGGGTGCAGCGTCCCTCAGGGAGAAGGAGATGGTCGCTTCCCTCTTCTGTAAACTGTCCAATCTGATGCGTATTAAGAGCGTCTGCTTTGGCTCTGACACGAAGGTGGGACTCATAGGTCTGGTGTTTTCGTTTGTGTGTGATCTTTACTTAGGAGTTGATGAGTGAGTGTCTTTATGTGTCATTTGTGGAGAAGCGGACGTGTGATGTTGACTTTGTCCCTTCGTCGCATGTCCGTGAGCCTTTCCTCGTCCGTAAGATAGCTCTTGTATATATAGTGTTCATGTACTTTGATGAAATAATATTAAAACTAAAGAACATCATTTTATACTTTGGGCCAAGTTTTCAGGTAACAAGGAGTACAGAGGTCAAAGTTAGCATTAGGTGTGACTGTAGAACCAACATTCACCCTGCTGTAATTTTATTTGTTTTTCTTTTCGATATAAAGTCTCACAACGTTGGATTTTCTTTTACTGGCAGTACATCTAACATCTACCAGTGAACCAAAAATAAGATTAAGAAATGCTTCACGCTTCACTGTTGCGGTCCCAGACAAAACCTAGAATAGAGAATATTTTTCTTATAATATTAAGTTATTCCATTGGACACGTTTATCTCTAATCTCTATGGCAACACCACACACAACAGAAGTCAGTAAGGTGGATATTAAACAACATATTTTCTTTCGGGTAATTTGTAAGTGTGCGAAGTAATCGATCATTTTGAAAGTGTCTGTTACAAGACTATCAGTTATTGAGTTTAGAGAAGATATGTTACTCGTGTTTATCATTTTTCATCGTTTACAGGTGACAGTCAAGTGTCTTACGGTAATCGTCCGGGCTGTTGACGCCAAGACGCTGGCCAAGAGTCTGCCAGAATTCGTCCGCACCTCCATGTTAACCTTCTTCAATAACTCTGCCATCGACTTAGAACACTGCATCCATTGTCTGCAGGAGGTACGGAGGTGGAGGGATGAGGAGGAGGGAAGGAATTTTAGCGGTAGGAAGGGATGTAGGAGGAAACACGGGGTTCAGTAGAGTGGCAAAAACACTGAGGTAATTGTTCTTGACTTTTATTTTGAGTATAACACGATAGTGATGCAGTATGTGGCCAGTGTATCCTATAGCAGCCATGCATCATCTTTAATTTTTACTTTGTTGACAGGGTAAATATGCCTACATCCGCGGCACCCACCTCAAGACGTCCGCCTCCCTAAACTACATCCAGACAGTGCTGCTGCCTGTCCTCACCTCTCTCTTCGACCACACCGCCGCCTGCGAGTTCGGCCAAGACGTCCTCTGTGAGTCGACCACTTCACTCTCGACGCTTATGTATCGACATTGTACCTGAGTGACATTCTTATAATTGCTTAGAGTGATACATTAGCAATTTACCATCCTCCTTTCTCTAAAGTTGAGGGTATATAGAAATAGGTTCAGCCTGCACGGCCATAAGACCGGTTTTCACCTGCCCATTCCTCTGGAGCGTAACAACAGTCTCAAAATAACAAGTTTGCATACAGATTTACGTAGAAGAACTGAGGTGTTTTTTTCTGCTCTTAATATAAATACAGTATTATTCTCCATAGGGAAAAAATATACGTAACTACAATATATTTTCTTATTGAATTATCGTTATTGCCCGATTTTATTTGTAGGTTTATTCACTTATTATTAATTCTACATTTAGATAAGGACTTTTACACATTGTCAGGGAAAGACGAATACTCTTATTATGTTCTATTGGTCTGAGAGTTTTATAATAAGTGTTGCATTGATAAGACATTATTGTTTTCCTGTATAGAAACAATTACAATAATATTTGACCTGTGTTGGGCAGTGGACGAGATTCAGGTGGCGTGTTACAAGATGTTGGCAGCACTCTACCAGCTGGGCACCGACCTTAGTTTGGACGGGGGCAAGACCTTTATGAAGAAGGAGTTGAATCGCCATCGACCTTCCATCGGCAACTGTCTGGGAGCCTTCGCCGCTACCTTCCCCGTCGCTTATTTGGAACCCATGATGAACAAGAACAACCCATGGAGTATACACAACCGCATCGCTGACCAGTCCCTCGAAGCTCAAGGTTTACTTTACCCAGTTTACTTTACCTGTTATCCAGTCTACTTTTACCTGTTTATCCAGTCTACTTTACCTGTTATCTTTCTACTTTCTGTTTATCCAGTCTACTTTACCTGTTATCCAGTCTACTTCTTTCAGTTTACCCAGTCTACTTTTCCTGTTATCCAGTCTACTTTACCTGTTTATCCAGTCTACTTCTTTCAGTTTACCCAGTCTACTTTACCTGTTATCCAGTCTACTTCTTTCAGTTTACCCAGTCTACTTTACCTGTTATCCAGTCTACTTTACCTGTTTATCCAGTCTACTTTACCTGTTTATCCAGTCTACTTTACCTGTTTATCCATTCTACTTTACCTGTTATCCAGTCTACTTTTTACCTGTTGTCCAGTCTACTTTACCTGTTATCCAGTCTACTTTTACCTGTTTTATCCAGTCTACTTTACCTGTTGTCCAGTCTATTTTACCTGTTTATCCAGTCTCTTTTACCTGTTTATCCAGTCTACTTTACCTGTTATCCAGTCCACTTTACCTGTTTATCCAATCTACTTTATCAGTTTACCCAGTCTACCTGTTTACCCAGTTTACTTTATCAGTTTACCCAGTCTATTTCTCCCAGTTTACTCTTATTAACAGTTAGTTATACTCCAACAGTCTTTTTATTCAGTGAGTGTGACTGTGTAAACTACGTTCCTAAAACACGTTGTTCTACAGGGTAAATTACACTAATCTCTTTTGAGTAAACTGCACTAAGCTTTCTTGAGTAAACTGCACTAAGCTTTCTGAGATCATTGTTAATAATTAGCATACAATACATATCAACCAGTAGGATTTTCTTAACTCCAATTTTCAGCATTACAACTCATTTTCCATTTAATTTCGTCTAATATCATGTTGTTATTTTTCCCTCATTTCCCGAACAGAAATCATCGTGAAAATGGACACGGCGATGCCTACACTGGAGACCGTGTTGAAGCAGGTGGAGAAGTTTGTGGAGGATGAGTCTAAACACACGGACCAGCCACACATCATCGACGTGGTGCTGCCTATGTTGTGTTCTTATCTCTTGGTGGAATCAAGGACCCGACAACGTCAACCCATCCGAGGGGTGAGTTAAAGCGGCCACACTCCACTTGTATCTGTTGGGTGGCCACACTCCACTTGTATCTGTTGGGCCACCACTTGGCCATTTGGGTGGCCACCTCACTTGTACCTGTTGGGTGCCACCACTTGTATCTGTTGGGTGGCCACACTCCACTTGTACCTGTTGGGTACACACTCCACTTGTACCTGTTGGGTGGCCACACCACTTGTATCTGTTGGGTGCCACACTCCACTTGTACCTGTTGGGGCCACACCCACTTGTATGTTGGGTGGCCACACCCACTTTGTACCTGGGTGGCCACACTCCACTTGTACCTGTTGGGTGGCCACACCACTTGTATTGTTGGTGGCCACACTCTGTACCTGTTGGGTGCCACACCACTTGTACCTGTTGGGTGCACACACCCACTTGTACCTGTTGGGTGGCCACCTCCCTCGTATCTGTGGCCACACTCCACTTGTACCTGTTGGGGCCACACCACTTGTCTGTGGCCACCCACTCCTGTTGGGTGGCCACAGTTCACCTGTACCTATTGGGTGGCCACACGCCACTCGTCCTTGTTGGGTGGCCACACTTGACCTGTACCTATTGGGTGGCCACACTCCACCATACCTACTGGATGGCCACACCACTGTACCTGCTGGTGGCCACACCTGCTCGTGCCTGCTGGGTGACCACACTTGACCTGTACCTATTGGGTGGCCACACCCCTGTCTGCTGGATGGCTGGCCTCCTGCTGTTCTCCCATACTACTGGATGGCCACACTCCACTGTACCTACTGGTGGCCACACTCCACCTGTACCTGCTGGGTGGCCACACTCCACTCATTACTGGGTGGCCACACCACTCTGCTGGTGGCCACACCCGCCTGTACCTGCTGGGTGGCCACACTTGACCTGTACCATTGGGTGGCCACACCTCTCATGCTTACTGGGCCACTCCCCACTTTACTGGTGGCCACATTCCACTGCACCTGCTGGGTGGCCACACTCCACTCGTACCTGCTGGTTGGCCACACTTGACTGTTCCTATTGGGTGGCCACACTCACTTGTACCTGCTGGGTGGCCACACTCACTTGTACCTGCTGGGTGGCCACACCTTACACCTGCCTGTACCTGCTGGGTGGCCACACTCCACTTGTACCTGCTGGGTGGCCACACCCACTTGTACCTGCTGGGTGGCCACACCACTTTACCTGCTGGGTGGCCACACCCTTCCTGCTGGTGGCCACCCCTGTACCTGCTGGGCCACTCTGCTGGCACACCACCTGCGGGTGCCACACTCACTTGCCTGTTGGGTGACCACACTCACTTACCTGCTGGTTGGCCACACTTGACCTGTTCCTATTGGGTGGCCACACTCCACTTGTACCTGTTGGGTGACCACACTCCACTTGTACCTGCTGGGTGGCCACACTCCACTTGTACCTGCTGGGTGGCCACACTCCACTTGCACCTGCTGGGTGGCCACACTCCACTTGTACCTGCTGGGTGGCCACACTCCGCTCGTACCTGCTGGGTGGCCACACTCCGCTCGTACCTGCTGGGTGGCCACACTCCGCTCGTACCTGCTGGGTGGCCACACTCCGCTCGTACCTGCTGGGTGGCCACACTCCGCTCGTACCTGCTGGGTGGCCACACTCCGCTCGTACCTGCTGGGTGGCCACACTCCGCTCGTACCTGCTGGGTGGCCACACTCCGCTCGTACCTGCAGGGTGGCCACACTCATACCTTTTGTCAATATGAATTACACTTTTGTCACCTAATAAGAGAGAACATTATTAATGAGAGATGAAAGAAGCCTTTATGACAAGTATATGAGGTGATGTTTACCTTATGAATATTCCTGGAGTGAGAGATGAAAGAAGCCTTTATGACAAGTATATGAGGTGATGTTTACCTTATGAATATTCCTGGAGTGAGAGATGAAAGAAGCCTTTATGACAAGCATATGAGGTGATGTTTACCTTATGAATATTCCTGGAGTGAGAGATGAAAGAAGCCTTTATGACAAGTATATGAGGTGATGTTTACCTTATGAATATTCCTGGAGTGAGAGATGAAAGAAGCCTTTATGACAAGTATATGAGGTGATGTTTACCTTATGAATATTCCTGGAGTGAGAGATGAAAGAAGCCTTTATGACAAGTATATGAGGTGATGTTTACCTTATGAATATTCCTGGAGTGAGAGATGAAAGAAGCCTTTATGACAAGTATATGAGGTGATGTTTACCTTATGAATATTCCTGGAGTGAGAGATGAAAGAAGCCTTTATGACAAGTATATGAGGTGATGTTTACCTTATAAATATTCCTGGAGTGAGAGATGAAAGGAAGATGTTTCATATTTATTATAAAGAATGGCTCTACATCCTGCCTGTGTATTGTGATATACATAACTACACCACACATATATTATTTAAGTTATCTAGAAGAATTAATTTACGTGTTTTACTTAGTTTAATTTGTACAATTGTTTACTAGAATAATGGATGATAATGGTTTTAAACTGAACTATAGTTACATCGAATACAGGATTGACTATGTTGTTTGTTGAACCACGTCTTTCTATAATATTTAAAGAACCACGTGTGTTTATAATATTTGCAGAACCACGAGTGTCTATAACATTAACAGAACCACGTGTGTCTATAATATCTACAAAACCACGTGTCTATAATATTTACAGAACCACGTGTGTAGGACCATATTGTTGTTACAGGAACCACGTGTCGATGGTGACGTGTGAGCACATGAACCAGCTGCTGCGGCTGGTGCTGCGATTGATCATGTACAACGTCGGGGTGGAGAATGCCCCCTGGATGACGCGTATAGCCGGCTACACCCAGCAGATCATTATCAACTCCAGCGAGGAGCTACTCAGGGACGCATACCTGCCCCTGGCTGACCGCGTCCACAAGCGTGCTGACCACATGTTCAACAAGGAGGAAAACCTCAAGAGCTTCCTCAAGTCCACCACCGAGGATACCAGCCAGGTGGGTTGACCTCGTCCGCGAGTGTACGTTCAGAGACACACGCGCACACAGTACGCATATCATCAGCAGATTAGGTGTATGTGTGGGTGTGTGTGTAAGTACTCGGACTTTCTTCTTCATTGTTACTGGGACAGATAATTCAGAGCTATTATCTTGTCTGATAATAATTCAGATCTCAGAGGAATTTATATTGATAAAAAATTATCTTAATAAAAACAAGATAAGATTGGTAATGTTGACGTTACACTTCACCAGCCACTTATCACTAAATCATCACTAGGTGGCCGTCTTCTCAAGAACATGACTTCAAGTGCTGGTTGATAGGTCAACCCTTCCTGAGTACTTTGTTGTTAATTGTGGCGATAATTCCTGATGTTGGAATTTTTGTTGCTGGGGCCACAAAGTCATGATATCTTTGTTGCTGGGGCCAAAAAGTCATGATATGTTTGTTGTTGGGACCACAAAGTCATGATATCTTTGTTGCTGGGGCCACAGTCATGATATATTTGTTGCTGGGGCCACAAAGTCATGATATCTTTGTTTCTGGGACAAAAAAGTCATGATATTGTTGTTGATGGGGCCACAAATTATGGTAGATATGTTGGTGGAGTCAGAAATTATGCTATATTTACTTGTAGAACCACAAATTGTGGTATATTTGTTCGTGGGGCCACAAATTATGATATATTTGTTGGTGGGGCCACAAATTACGCTATATTTATTGGTAGGGCCACAAATTATGATATATTTGTTGGTAGGGCCACAAATTATGATATACGTATTTGTTGGCGGGGCCACAAAGTCATGATATCTTTGTTGATGGGACAACAAAGTCATGATATTGTTGTTGGTGGGGCCACAAATTATGCTATATTTGTTTGTGGGGCCACAAATTATGCTATATTTGTTGGTGGGGCCACAAATTATGCTATATTTGTCGGTGGGGTCACAAATTATGCTATTTTTTTGGTGGAGCATTGTTACTGATATCCCTATACTATACTAATCCCTGCAATGTAACGTCACAGGTGGAGGGCCAGCTGCAGGAGGAGTGGCAGCTGCTGACCCGAGACATCTACGCCTTTTACCCTCTCCTCATCAAGTACGTCGACCAGCAGAGGAACTACTGGCTCAAGAACGGTGTCCCCGAGGCTGAGGACGTCTACAACCGCGTCGCCCAGATCTTCCACATCTGGTCCAACTCTCAGGTGATCACGATGACGA